CTGTTTCACGAAGACCAAAAACTTGAAAGAAAACGTTGTACTTACAAACCCGAAATTCCAGTGGCCCTGACGTTTGGAATTTTGTTACTTTTCGTGCAATAATGCAAAACAATTAATTATTTGAAACAAATATGATATGCTGAGTCATATATCTTCTTTTTTACATAGCACAATCCCTATGAACCAGCTACGAGCATATTTTTTTTTGTTTTTGCAATTGCAAGTTTTTAGTGAAACAGGCCTCAGATGTCGTGTAACTGATTTGCTAAACGTCTAGACGATTAATAAACTGGTAAACATCTAGTAGACATTTCGTCTAGTCTGAAATATGTCGTACTTTTTATATTAAATGTATTAACACCTTTAAGTGCCTGAAAGATATCGGCGGTACGGGATATAGAGGATTCTTCATGGCTCCGAGTGGAAGATATAGAGGATTCTTCATGGCTCCGAGTGGAAGATAAGGATATCTTTTCCAAGCGGGTTACCTACTGAAAAACCGAGCGACGAAGGAGCGAGGTTTTTCTGTAACACGCGAGGAAAAGATATCCGATCTTCCACGAGTGAGCCATGAGGAATCCTATATCTTTCTATGTTGAGGTTTATTCCTAATCAATTAAATATTATATTAAAATGCATTCATCGATGTAAAATAGATTCAGAGTAGTTTGTTCTTATTTCATAAGTTTCATCCATAAACAACCATTAAAAATGTCGTTCGGTTATTGACCCATCATCACATGAACTCTTGATTTTTCGCTATGAACCCTCGAGACCTTATCTTTGCATCTCAGAGGGATGCAGATATAACAAATTCTTATCTTTGCATCTCAGAGGAGTGCGAGATAGAAATATCCCTGCACTGTAGACCCAATGGCAAATAAACCTCAACTAGAAAGATAAGGATATCTTTTCCAAGCGGGTTACTGAAAAACCGAGCGACGAAGGAGCGAGGTTTTTCTGTAACACGCGAGGAAAAGATATCCGATCTTCCACGAGTGAGCCATGAGGAATCCTATATCTTTCTATGTTGAGGTTTATTCTTAATTTATTAAATATTATATTTAAATGTATTCATCTATGTAAAAAAGATTTAGAGTAGTTTGTTTTTATTTCATAAGTTTCATACATAAACAGCCATTAAAAATGCCGTTCGGTTATTGACCTATCATCAGTTGAACTCTTGATTTTTGGCTATGAACCCTCGAGACCTTATCTTTGCATCTCAGAGAGATGCAGAGATAACAAATTCTTATCTTTGCATCTCAGAGGAGTGCGAGATAGAAATATCCCTGCACTGTAGACCCAAGGGTAAATAAACCTCAACTAGAAAGATAAAATTATTACGTAAACCGCTCGTCGGTAGAAAAATCTTTTGAACGTCTCGCCTATCGGCTCGACGTTTAAATGATGTGCTCAACCTACTCGCGGTTTAATGTATAATGCATAGGCGTCGCCAGAGATTTTCGGTTGGGGGGGGGGGCAAAATCAACTTTTGTGTTAAATCTTGCCTTCCTCCAGTCGTTACTCATTCATTTTACATATCATTCAACGCGCAATGGTGCGAGGAATACGATGGTGACAAGGTTTTCCTTGTAGCTATGACTTGCCATTTTTTTTACAGAAAATTTAATTTTTTTAAATTTTTGAACAAAAAACGACCGGTAGAATCACAATGGCTGCGCTTGCCGACGCACTCTGGAGAGCCCCTGTGCAGACGCTCGTCGCTCATGATCATAAAAAGGTTAAACGCTCAGCTTAAGCGAATCACCTTGCTGAAACTTTCATTCACGCATGCATGCAGAGGTTCTACGTAAAATGCATAGGGCTTATCCCAGCCGCCGATTGAAGCTAAGTAGGGCTTTCAGCGGAGAGTGAATGTCGGAAGTGTGAATCGGAAGTAATTCATCTTTGCTCCAGTGAGAGGAGGTGTATTGTGAACAAAAAGTTTCTCGCTTTTCGTGTGTAGGGAAGCGCTGCAAACGCGAAGAAAAGACGTTTAACGGAACCAAAATTTCGCACGGCATAGCGGCAAGGGATCCTTTAGCGATAGGCTTGGGACTTCCAGGCCATTTTAGGCCACTCAAGGTCAGTGTGGGCTCTCAGAAGCCTGCTTAGGATCCTGAAAATCGGCGCTGGTCACCCCAAATAGTTACGTGTACATATGTGGTGCTTTAGGGCTTTCCGAGCCCAAGGTGGGACCCTCAGAAGCCAGTGTGGGCGGCGCCGGCGGCGGGCGCTAAGAGACCAGGCCCAGGGTGAGCAGGGAGCCCTCAGATAGCAGTGTGAACCCTGGAGGTCTGTGTCGAATCCCTAAGGACCCTACATAGGGACATAAGAAACATGTGCTGGGACCCTCAGAGGCACACCCGAGTCGTGACCCCTAAACTGCAGGCTTAGGCTCAGCAAAATCTGTCGCCTCAAAAGCTCGGCTGAGCTATCAGAGGCCTAAGGTTCTCAGAACTATTTGAAAGTATCCTCAAAGATCCGTGTGGCACTTCAGAGGTCTACGCATGTGTAAGGTCCTCAAAGATTCCTGTATGGGCCCTCAGAGAATATGAACACCAGTGGGACTCTCAGAGGCCGGTTTGGGCCCTCTGAAGGCTTCTTAGAGCTCAGTGGAGCTCCTTCGGAGCCTGTGTGAAAAGCAAGCAGTCATGAGCCCTGTGGCACTTGAACGGTACTTGAGTCTGTCGCAGACATTTGACGAGAGTTGAGAAAGGCCCGAAGATTCAGTGTCACGCTTTGAACGCAAATTTTGTATCAGCACTTCAAAACTTATGAAAATCAGCTATAAAATGTAATAAAAAACCAACGAGGAACATGAAATGAATCACAGTATTGACACTTCCGAATCTGGAGTCGGTGTTTTGACGATGTTGGCGACTGCGACTCCGACTCTGGCTTGAACGAGTCTGACCTCACAGGCATTCTCAGAAAGGTACCCCCATTTTTTCCCGACTCCAAAATCTCATCGGATCTGTATCGATCTCAGGGGATGCCCGGTCCGAGGTTGGGGGGGGGGCAAGCTGCCCCGCTTGCCCCCCCCCGTGGCGACGCTAATGGTATAATGAATGATAAACTGTTAGATATGCCGACTTAAGCAGGCACTTATAGAAATTAAATAGAATGAAATATAGATTGAGCCCAAACATGCACTTTTGTTTTTTATAACTCATTAATCGTCTAGAGGTCTTTATCATACGTGTAGCGTGCGAAATTAAAGTGACTGAATTAATTGTGTTAAATAAAAATGTTAAAGGTTGTTCTTAGAGTGCCAAGATTGATAAACTGAGCGTTTCCTTCCTTTTTGTACAATTTGCATGACGATATAGATTTTGCATATCAATCTGTATGAGTCTTCGTGGCAATGCAGCCATACATAGGGCTATACCTATCTAATTTTACTTTTTGCACCCTCTAAAAACTGGAGAAATTGAGAAAATAAAGATATTAAAGGAAAGGAACCATCCTCCTTAGCTTGAAAAAAGAAACTACACAATACTAAGAATATACTTCTTAAGTCTTACGTTTTCATCTCATGGCAAAAAAAATCATTGATCACTTTCTGATCCAATTCCTGGACGATGGCTCACGTCGTCGGTGAGCAGCCCTTGGGAAACTTGCTCTAGCCGACCATCTCCCATTCAGACCACTTGTTTTCGTCAGTTCATATGAGCCATCAGCTGCCCCCCCCCCTCCCCCCAAAAGCATGAAAACGCTATCTCAGACCTCAGACTGACCTGACGACAGGTTTAGTGCGTCGGCTGGTTGCATTACAAATTAAGCGCTCGCTGTTTTGAAAACGTTGCTCTTTTCCAGATGCCGCTGAGGCAGGACTTCGCCATTACCAAACAAGTGAACGTTTAAAGTTTACAATGCAATTATTTTTGGTCTTTAGGCACAAATTTGAGATTAGGGATATGGAGCAGCTCCGGATATCATCAGGACAGTCATCGTTGTCAAAGTTCATTGAAGCGTCAGCTGGGCTGGGTGAGGCTGATATTCTATATTAAACCGCAAGTAGGTAGAACAAATCTTTTAAACGTCGCGCCGATAGGCGAAACGTTTAAAAGATTTTTCTACCTACGAGCGGTTTAATAATATAATCCCGTACCGCCGATATCTTTCGGGAGCTTAAAGGTAAGAAATACATTTTATATATAAATACGACATATTTCAGACTAGACGAAATGTCTACTAGACGTTTTAACAGTTTGTGAATCGTCTAGACGTTTAAAAAATCAGTTAAACGACATCTGATAATTTTTTCTCTTTGCACGTGAAGCAATGGTAAGTATTGTCTACGGTGCGGGATAAAATACGGTATTCAGAGTTATGGTTTGTATTTATAGTCGCCGTGATGGTTTGTTTCTCATTCCAATAATAATGATGAAATAGGCATTTGATAGTCTTCCCGTTCAGGCCCAAGATAACGATCACCGGGAACAAATTCACAATCGGAATCTAATCTGATTTTATCATTTAATGCAAAGCATACCTAAATAGTAAATACATTCTGATAATTGAACCGGGCATGACATAGTTATGTTTAAACGACCGAAATGCCATAAACTTTACCGGAACAATCGAAAGAGAAACGGGAACAGAAACGTCAAGTTTTGAGTCTGACCACACTTTGCGAAACACCCCTTTCGAGGTCAGTACAGATTCAAACACCACTTCCGAGGTCAATATAGATTGGAGCCTGTTCCGGCCTCCACCCAGTGCCCCTGCCGTTTTTTTTTTTCAGGTCGATTGACTGATGCATCGATTTGTCATTCGCTGCACGGCCGCTTTGTGGGAACCGTCTTTCGGCCTTTTTCACTTCTTCGTAAACCCTTTTCATACAGAAGTGTTTGGCAGGTGGCAGACCACATCCCGCCGTGAGCTGAGCCTCGGCCACCCAACATATGCTAGCATTCACCTGTTTGCCACGTCATATAAGCCGCCCGTTGGCGGAAAAAAGTCGTTCTCATCCATGCCCTCATGCAGGGTTCCCGCGACGATCAGCTGACAACACGGCGGCGAATCAGCTGATTGCCTGGCGGCGAGGGCCCCGGATCAGCTGTGGACGCGCCAGTCGGCGGCGGCATTCGGCTCCCAGCAGTCGGGGGGAGGGTGTCGCCTGTCGGCTAAACGCGGAATTCTAGTAAAGCCGAATTGCACACCAGCTCTGGATTAGTTTTAATCAAACTTTATTTGTAACATTGAAAGGTATGACGAGTGACTTTGGCGAAAGTTTCTACTGCTGCGAGACTGGTGTGTTTGAAGCGGAACAGGGCTGCAAGGCCATTCAAGATCCGGTTCTCCTCAACGATCGTCGAGTCCTGACGAACCTGCTGGATACTGAAAACGTCTACCTTCCTTCTAATTCGTATTTCAAGTGTGTACAAAACGAAATAACTCCTCGAATGCGACAAATATTGGCCTATTGGATGGTCGAGGTAAGTGGAAGTACCTAGCTTGCAAACTATGAAAGTGTGAATCCTATCCTTATTCGCTTGCTATTGTGAAATAGCCATGCTAGTTAATCTCATTGTAGTTGCAATTATTTTTGTGTTGATTCCTTCTAATGCGGTTTCGTCTGCATAAGTTTACGTGTGCTATAACTGATAAACTACCTGTGATTAACGAATGTCCCCCTCTCCCCTTTTCGCAGGTATGCGAGGAGCAACAATGCCAAAGTGACGTGCTCCCACTGGCAATCAACTTACTGGACAGATTTCTCAGTGTGACGAGCGTGAAAAAGGACCACTTGCAACTGTTGGGAGCCGTATGCTTGTTTATCAGCTCCAAGCTAAAAGAGACTCGCTGTTTGACGGCGGACTTTCTGGTGCAGTGTGCAGACAACAGCATCACGACCGGAATCATTATTGTAAGTATCCATCCATTTTCCTATTTTATACTCTTCACTTACTAACGTATTCAAGAAGCATGATCATTAGGTCGACTCTTAATGTGAGCATAATGACTAAACTACTATAATACGCTTACATTTCGTCCCAAAAATCACAGTAGACATTTTATCGTATGTTATCTTTCATGTCGCTCTCTGTCGCATGTGTGCTGATTTTGCAATATTTGCCTACCACGGTCCACGGTTATGTATGTCAGCCTTTCGACTCGCGTGTCCAGCCGCCTTGTGCTGCTGCGCGACTCGCCTCGTGTTGCCAGGCGGCTCATGAAAGCCGTACCCCGGGCAGTCGAAACCATGGGCGCGTGCATTGCAACAATGGATCAGCTGATGGTGGTTGACCTCCAGTCTAGGTAGCGGTCAGACCTGTACTGGGGCTGAGCGTTTCACCTGCGCAAAACCGTCAAGGTCAGCTCAACATGCTCCTTTCGGCGCTGGCAGATTCACTCTGTCGAGTGTAAACGTATTGTTCAGTTGCGCGTTCAGTTGCGCGAAGGTGCAGCCGGGAGGGGCAATCGAAATGTCCGTTAGGCCATTTCCCGGAACAAAGTTCGTACTTTGCTAACATATGCTAGTAGGGGAGAGTGGGGTAATTTGGCCGCTTTTTTTAGAAAACGATGTAACTAAAAATCGACAACACATTTCTGCATTTTCTCAACGCTGACAGGTGTGGCATACATTTTACTTTCCTGGACAGTAAACTTGAAATGATAGGGTAACTACTTATATTGAAATTGTGACGCATTACAAAGGTCTGCAAAGCGGCCAAATTGCCCCACTAGCAGGGTTATTTGGCCGGGGGTGTGGGGCAATTTGGCCGGTGTTAGTTTGAGGCCATGATTTTTGTTATCGGCGAGTCAGCTTCACATTCAGCAATGACGCGTGTCCTACGACGCATTTGAAGCATTTTGGAGGTTGACTCAGCCGTCACAGGGGTCGAAAATAGTCAAAATAGCGGCTCTATATGCGATGACAGTTTTTTTACGAATAGCTTTTAAAGTAATCAAGCCAGGCCAAAACTAAAAGTACCATCGTAATTCTCTCGTCATTCCGCATCGAAACATGTATGTGTTGACCTCGAGAGGTCAAGGTCAAAGGTTGGCTTCAGGTCACGTTACCTCAGGTCGCTTGACCTCAAGGTTACGTGAGTTCAAGGTCATCATGTATACCATTCGATGCGCCTTGACGAGCTGAACACAATGAGGCCATTTGCGCGGCTGTATCTTTTTCTGTAAGTATTTATTAGCAAAAGACCGTTAGGTAACCGTTGATGACGTCACATGCCCTTACAGCTGTCCAATAGGAAATATGGCATCGAGGTAGTCAAAGTTGGTCATGAATTATGTCTTTTATGGTATAATTGACCGTGACAACTCGGCCGTCCCAGCATGGTGACTCTAAGCGCACCGGCCAAGTTGCCTCGCTAGTCCCGGCCAAATAACCCCACATTGCCATTCTGAAAATTTTTGTCTATAAAGTCGTCATGGCTGTACAGAACTAGATGAAATTGCTCTTGGAACCGCTGAACACCCTCAAGAATGGCGCTATAATGTTGGAATTTGTTTACAGCCCAAATACTACATGTTATACAAATTTTTAAACGGAAGTAAAAGTTACCATTTTCTAACGAAATTCACGTTTTATTAATTTTGAATAAAACTAAGCGGGGGAAAGTTTTGACATTTGTTCTCGAGTTAGTTCTGCCGATGACAAATGAATAGAGACTAAAGTTATTTCATTCACTTTTATCAGCTTTCGTACAGGTGGGGGCGGCCAATTTACACCACCGGCCAAATTACCCCACTCTCCCCTAATTGAAAACCTCACCTTCTAAATGAACTATTATCATTTATTTGATGTTTGCTATGACTATACGTTCCCGTCTTCGAAGACGGTGCCTTGAAATTCTTTACCGTTCTTCTGGTATAACTGCTTCAAGTGCAGAAAGGTTTCCACTTTCCAGTCCCCATGTGGTGCAGGGCGCTTCCACTCATCTCTAGGTTAAATATAATTTGGCATTCGTTGAAAGATCAGAGAGAACTTCTATCGCTTGGATAAAAGTTCTCTAAATGCTTGGTAGGTAGAAAGCAATGATCCGTTGCATCATCTGGTAACTTAACTTGCATTCTGAAGCTACGTGTAGATATGTGCCATTCTTTTGCACGACTAAATTTTGACTGTCAAAATATGTCACCACTTTAAGAAATCAAGACACAACTTCGATTAGGCTATAGGTGGGCTTTTGGATAAAAAATGACGCCTGCATCTTATTTCAATAAGTTATTTGACGATTGCTAGGCTCTTACTCAGAGTTGTAAGTCTCCTTAGCGGTGCTCAATATTGCTCTGCTTCTTTGGCGTATCCATTATGTTTGAAAAAAGTTACGAATTTCTCCGGCCGGGAGCTGCGACCCCAGTGACCCTCAAAGCACGGGAAGTCACCGACCACATGCCCCCTGAAGTAGCCCTAATCTTACGATTGACACATCCCTCGGAGGTGGGGGGGGGGGGGGGGCTTTGGGCGCTGTTTGCTGTCGGCGCCGCCCCCCGCCCGGCGGCCCGGCACCGGACTCTGGCCGCCTTATCACATGTTCGCCGGAGGAAGTGGCACTCCCGCCTGACCGCGGTTTGAGCTGCGCTTGCAAGCTCGCCACAGGACGCAACGGTGACTTTCACCGTATTGTTACTGGAACACTAAACCCTCATCAACGGGTGCCTTCACTTGACATTCGCCTTTGGCCGCCCGACCCATGCAGTGTTGCGAGTGAGAGATGGAGTCAGGAGTGGACCTTCCCTAAAATTTCTCGGATTGGTCTCCCTACCATACAGACGAAATATGGCAGTGCTCGCCGCTCGAATGGCCATCCTCTGACGCTCCGTGTCGTCGAGTGTCTCCTTCTGACCTCCCGGGGGCTGGGGCAGAGTCAGACACTAGCCAGCCGTGTCGGTGCACAGCTGACAGGGTCAGTGAACTCTGTCTGGCACGCCCAGCCCGGCGACACTGACACCCACGGCGCGTGACATGGCTTGATCGGGGGCAGGGCACACGGGCCGACTCTATTTGATGTGACGTTTATATAATTTACTGTAGGGTCCAACTAAAAGGTCAGTTGCGCTGGATGGTTGGAGGTAAACATATGGTCGGAAAGAACCCAGTTTTCGTTTACATATAATTTGATTTACATAGTTAGTGACTTTGGACGCACTAGGTAATTTCGATGTTGAGTTTTTTTTTTTCCTGCCGGTTATCCATTTCAAAAAATGTCTCGTGCAGGGCTCGACCAGTGATCCCGCTCGCCTCAGCCGCTCCTCTCTCTCCGGCACGTTGTCTCCGATGAGCCCGTGTCGGGCTCGGCTGCAGCAGTCCGCCTGCCCATGACAGACGCTGACGTCAGCCTCGGCGACTCACAGCGCCCTCTGCAAGGTCACCTCCCCGGGCGAGCAGATAAACAGGGACCCGTCTGGCTCCGGCGAATGAATGGCCGGCCGCGGCTCGGCTGTGGCCGGGCCGCGCCGGGACGGAGCCGCCGGCCGGCCTGCCGGATGTCTGTCTCACGGTATATGTCTGTCTGAGGGGGTCCGTCGCACCCGGCGCCCGCGCTCAGTGCTGGTCCGTGCCGGCCGCCGCGGGAGGCAGACACTTGCACTGTGTGCACTGTGCACCTGTTGGATCGGTGCAGCAAGTGCATGGCGGGCTGGTGCATGGCTCGGGATGACGAGCATCCTTCTCCCTGCCTCTGCGGCTAAATGAGCGAGGTATGCCGTGACGCCATCGCTGAGTCTCAGAACGGTGAGCACCCAGCTAGCTCAAACGAATGCCTGAAGAAGAAGAAGAAGATCAATTGGAACTAGTAGATGCTTTGCTTAGTCTTGCTTTAATGTTGGAGGTGCATAGTGTGGTCAGTGATCACCCTCTGAAATAACAGGAGTGGGAACCGCTTGAGGAGTGGGAACCGCTTGAGGTGGTTGGAGATATAAAAAAATGAATAAGTAACACGGTGCGAAAACATCAGCTGACAAAACATGATGCCGCTTTTTTGTGGGAACTGGGAGGCCAAAAACAGCTGATCGTTTGGTTCCCCTACAGGAAACACAGTTGTGGGTTAGTGACAGCGCTCATTTCTGTTGCTACCCCGGTGAACTGATGTGTTTGTGCCGCAGCTGTTGTGTAGGCTGGCGGCGGGGGAAGTGAGAGGTGGGCTGTCACTGCGAACAGGGCCGCTGAGGTCCCCCGGACGGGTCTCCCAGATCGCCGGACCGCTGCAGACACACGCGACGTGTCTGGATGTCGAGACTCGAGGTCGCCATGACTTTGGCACTCCGCCCTTTGCTTTGCCCTGTAGGCAGCCTCAACTAACGACTTCGCCCTTTTCGATGACATTCGACGCTAGGTATAGGCTTGTCAACCTCAGCTAATGACAATCTCCCTTGGTGATGTAATTTGACGCTAATGAAGGCTAAACCGCCGGCTTTTAGCAATTTATAGTCAAGCCCTTCGCCCGGCCTGTTCACCAGTTCTTTAGGTCTGGAACTATCCAGCCGTGGTTACGAAGCTTTGGGAGCTTTCAACTCTGCTCGCTGTCGCACTGGGTGGAACGGCACCGACCTAGTTGCTGTGGCTGGTGCACATGAACACGGAAGCTTTGTCATTGATGTCATATCCTGTCTCTATCGATCTCCACCGGACTTGTATTTCGGAAGTACCGGCACCACACATTTTGAGTTATATGTAGGGACCGCTTGTTGATACTGCCTTGGCACTGGGATGTTCTGAGGACTAGTAAACATCCAGTCACTGTCTTCGAAGGTGTAGATCTGCTTGCAGCATAATAAACTCATGATTGATCTATGGCTTCATTATGAGTGAGACGTGCCTGGGACTCCCCATGATGGCACGAAATTGATTCCCTTTGTTCAGGCTGCCCAACCTGGGCGGCTCTGGCCTTTGTGGTGTGCCTTCTGCCTGACGTCTATCTGATGCTGTGATATCTACATTCTGCAGCCCCCTCTGTTATTGCCCGTCTGATATAGGAATGAGTGGCCCGTCAGCTGGATAACCTCAGGCTTCGAGTGAGGGCTGGTATTTCCGTTGACCGTTTAACCCGGCAGACATACATTGGCAGACATACATTGTATGTCATTGTGTCAGCCCCCTCTTTGGACCCTTGTTGGCGGGCGCTGTCCACCTTGACTCAAATATTGTTGGCCTGACTCGGGTACTTAACGCACTACCAGCGTATTTCGTTGCAATACCTATCATTCACCCCTTTTCAATGATTTTAAAGTAAAGTCCACATGTTTGGGCTAAAGAAGCAAAGGTGGTAACTCGGTACCCGGTGCGAAGCGAGCGGTGTCTCTGTCTGACCGGTCGCCGTCCTCTCGCGGTCCAGAAGAGCCCGACCTTCAGCCAGTCACGAGCACGACTCTTCCCCTGCCGCCTCTATTATCATTTCCAACCCTACCGCCGCGCCAAGAGTTCAGCGTCATTTCCAAGGTTCTCTGTAATTGTCTCTGAAGTCGTCAACCGCTCGACTGTTTATGTTTATGACTCCTTGGAGTCGACTGTTTAGCCGGGCGTCTTCCTTAGCCCGCCGTGTGAAGTTGTTGTTTGATAAATAGACAGTTGCCTGTCCACACCGCGATTCGATCGTTGGCCGGTGGTGCTGTCTGGTTAGTGGTTACTCCCAAGTTACTCCTGCTGGTCACTAGACGCGTTTACATAGGGTTTGTTGCAAGCTTATATCTCCGTCCGTGATGTTGCAAAAGATGCCAATGGTGCTTAACAATTTACAAAATGGTCCCCTCTAAATATTTGAAGACCACTGCATCGAAATTATCGCCAAATTAACGAGCTAGAGCCTCGTCAAAAATGCTATGTAAACCGGGTTACTGTCTCCTACCGAAGGCCTCCCGGAAACCTCCGTCCACTGACAGAGAACGAGAAGACCCTCTGCGTTCGCCCCCGAAGACGGGCGGAAATGGGCCATCGGATCCCTCGAAAAGGGGGAGCCGGCCTCCTCTTCGGCGTCTGGCTGACCGAACCATTTGTCTCTGGGGAAGGGAGGCTTATTTTTCTTGGGGTAGTTCATCTGCCGTAATTATGAAGCTGATTGGTACTTTGGGCATCGTTTCTGGAGTCGCTTTCAGTTAAAGGGATGCCGACAGGGTTTTAATGCTGGAAAAACGTGTAGCTAATGATGCTTTGACACCTAGAACCAATGCGTCTCATTCACTAAACAGAATGGCCAGATCTTCCCGTGCAGTAAAGAATACGAGTGGCTGCGCCTGTCGAGTTGTGTCCGTTTTTTTGTGATCATTGTTTGGAGTTCGTCCGCTGGCATCCGCCATCCAAGGCTGCTCTGACGAAGCACAATTAATGTCGTCACGGCCTTCGTGAGAACGCCGCATACCGGTGATACGGGATGGGATTAATAGCTCGGGCACCCGTTTATTGGAGGCGGCTCGGACAGGCTCGGACTTTGCCTGATCTATGGCGCCCCGATAGCGGAGAGGCAGCCGATCCAATCCGATCGGCTGACCGTCCTGCCGGTAGTACCCCTGTCGGCGCGGCGGGGTGTCGGTGGCCGGCGGCAGCGCACCTTTGGCGCGCGAATGTCCGTCGCTGACGGCCGGAGTGGTGTCGCCGGGCCGGGCCGGGGCGCCGGTCGCCGTCGGCCACCGCCGCACTGCGGGCCCGGTCCGGGCGGGCCGCGGCGCTCAAACGAGCCGGTCCAGCCGGATTCCAGCGCCGCTGCACAGGCTGGCACGCCGCCGCCGCCGGCTCCCATGCCGAGCAATGCAGCTGACGACCACCGGCCGGCCGCGAGCGGGGTGCCGAAAATCCAGCGTGGCTCAGCGATGCTTTAAAGTTTAAACCAAACGCTGCCGTTCTAGCGTAGTGCCTATTTTGCTGAACGATTCTGAAGAAACTAAAAGTAAAACGGAAGGGGCTGATGATACCGAAGCTGATCCAAACTGCGATAGAGTTGAGCCTCGGGCTCGAGTCTTCCTTTTTGTACAGTTTCAATCTGTTTCTACTGTTACTGTTTCATTTCTATGTACTGTTTCAACCGTTCTCAATTCAGCACTGATAGAGACGTCAGTGTGACTTTACCGTCATTGTCTACCGTTTGCCTCCCACCGCCCACCGCCCACCTCCCACCGCCCACCGCCGGCATGGTGAACTGACGGGTGTGTCGCGGTGCGCCGGCCGCCGGGCTCTGGCCTTGGCGGAGTGGCGCGTATAGCAGACGGGCCCGGTTCCCACACGGAGATGCTGAGCTGTGCTGACCCACCAGGACAACCAGTGCATCTCAGAAAGGCGGAACTACGAGCTACAATGAATGGAACATATCATCACGATCAAAAGGACTGCAAAAGTGGTCAGATGTTCTTCGATCGTCGCTGTTGCGATGTGTTTTGAGTAGCTGTTCGATGTCGATGGCCTCGGGCAGGCTCCGCTGAGTCACCCGACCTCGGCCCCAGGCGTCACTGACCAACTAGAGATGCAAAATCGCACCGTGGTCCTCCCGACCCGAGGGATGTAGGACCACTAAGCCCCACCCTGTTCCGTACCGTCACCTCAGTGACGTGAGGTCACACGTGAAGTGTATGAAGTCGGTTGGTTAGGTGACCTGTCTGGGTCGCCGGGTGGGTTCTCCTGTCGGTCGACGGGCTGGGGCTGGGTGGTGTTCAGACCAAGGTTAGTGAGTCGTCCGGCTGCTACGCTGAGGCAGTCTGATGTGGCCTCCCGCGACGGCGCCGCCTCAAAAGGACCCGGACGAAGCCGGCAGAGGATTCGACACGGCTGTGATGCGAATTGAGCGAAACTGAAGCAGAGCTGATTTTATTTCAAAACCGTACTCTGTATCACGGTGCATGAGAAAGATAGTAACTATTATTCATGTCTTTCCTTGACCTTACATGCCCCACACTTCCACACAATTCTGAAAGGTCTTGTCTATCCACCACAACGTTTTCTTACATGTTCGATTGACCACATTCTTTTCTTTTTCTTTCTCAGGACTGGGAGCTGCTGGTGCTGCACCGGCTACGGTGGGAGATCAACGCCGTCACGTCACACGACTTCCTGGACCCGCTGTTGCACCGCCTGTCGTTGGAGCGGTACCTGTCGTCCTCGCGAGTGCCGGACGTGCGGCGGCAGGCCCAGACCTTCATCGTCATGTGCAGTACAGGTTGGTTCAGCTGCATCTCATTTCGTTCCCCTGTCCTCATGCATGGGCTCAGTGGGTAGGGCCTCTTCCCCACAGAAGGCCGGACCCAATCTGAGGCACCTCGCCGCTGCGCTATGCGAAGTTAAGTATGTGAAGCATGTAACAAGGTGAAGCAAGGCATTTGTAATTCCATATTCATAAAGTCTTGTTTTTCTTTACGCGCCCATAACAGTCTGTTATTATCTACCCTGTCTATTCCTGGAGACCCTTCTCGCTCACCTCACGTAGTCTTCGTATTTACCGGGCATCACCGTGTCCAATCGGTTATTTTCGCCTTAAATTGGATCGAGGTAAGGGCGGCTAATGTGTAGCACGAGGCCGGGACGCTTCACCCAAAATATAAATTATAGCGCTGGCCCCGACCTCGCCCCCGCTGCTCGCTCTATACTCGGATGGACCACTAATTGCGATGTTTTTCCTGGGTGCAGTATTTCGGCTGACTTGACCAGCTGGTTGTCAGCAGCCCCTCCTCACCAGACCTCACCGATCAGCCGCTCCCCTGAGCGGTGCCGACTGCTCATTAATCATGAGGAGGCGCCTCGGCTCGTTCAGGCCGCGATCGGGTCGCGATCCGTCTGGTAGGGTGGCGGGGTGGTGTTTATCTATCTGGGGAAGTCCTGTGAGTGCTGCGGGGTGCACACCAGCCCCTTCCATGGGCCGTGCCGTGCTATTGGGTTGATGACGCCAAGGCTGGTTCAGTTGCGCCCAACTACAGACTCTGCTGAGCTGACAATGTCCCAGTGGCGCCCTGCTGATGCTGAGCTGTGCCAGTCAGCGGCGCTGAGCTGACGTTGATGACAAGGGGAGGCTACTGCTGACTCAGTGATGTCGGTGACTGATACTGACGTCGGTGTCAGTACAGGTGGCGGCAGACAGTGCTTATTGCGGCACTGTGATGTCTCAAAAGGAGCAATGTTGTGCGCAACTTGGGCCAAACTTGTGCGGCACTATTGGGCCCGTCGATTACCATCCAATTAACGTTTCGAAATGAAACTTCCTAAAATCTCTGATATACCTACGGATGCCGGCTGCGGCTACAGCTTATGTATGGACACACGCACAGGCATTCCCCCCTCAACACACACACACACATACACGTCACCCGCAGACGTGCAAAAACGGCGACACCTGTTACCAACGCTAACTGCCGTCGAGGTGGCAACTGTTATTTGTCGGGGCGGTGCCGCACTCCCAGCGCACTAATACAGACGTTCATGTGATCGTTTGGAGTGGTATGCGAGCCGGTAGGAATTACTGCCCTCGAGTTCGGCCGCCCTCTCCCCTGGCCAGTGCCGACTCAGTCGACGGTATTCTCCTATGTCAATGTCACCGGCCGCAGTCCACCGCCCTTGAACTTCAGTTCGGCGCTGTGTAAAAAGGCCGGGCGCTGGCGCCGCCCGGCCGGCCGCCCGTCTGCGTGGGGTGTCCCCGGCTGGAATGTGGCCGCAGTGGAGCCATTCTCGACGGACTAAGGACCGGTGACAATTGTCGTACCGGTGACTAACTAAGGACCGGTGACAATGGGGCTCACAGAGGGTGCCGGCCAATTACCGGGGCGGGCCCTTTCCCGGCCGGTCCATGGGTGACCGGGCGGGCGGCGGCCGCTCGGGGTGGAAATTCACGGTCGTCTGAACCCAAGGGTCAAGTTCCGTGCCTGTGCGCCGCTGTGCAGTGACGGTCGGCGGCCAGGCCCAGCCGTCGGCTCGGTCCTGCTCACTTCATGTCCTCGGCTGCGCTCCTGTGACCCTGTCGGCGTGCCGTGTCTGTCGACCCTTCTCCAGACCGGCGCTTTTGTCCCGGTCGTGTCGTCCTTTGTGTGAGCAGAGGTGCGCGGTGTCCGAGCCAGACGGGTTGTCTTCTCCGTGAGCCCCGCCCCGCCCACCGCCAGTCCCGGAACGCCTACCGGGTGACCGCGACCCTGCCCTCCGTGTGTAACCGAAGGTCAATGCTCCACCAATTTCACAGGATATTGACTGTGAAAAGGAAAGGACATGGTGACTGACCATGGTTATAATCAATTAATCAGTCACTTCGGTCAGGCTAGTAAAGCCCTTTCGGTACTCCTAACTTCAGTTCTGGTAGTAAATGCAGGTACTTTTTCACCTAAGGGATTTCCACGGTGAGTTGGTATGGGCAATGGGCAAATTTTGCGACTCGCGGCCCATGCTCGGTGGAGCCCGCCTCGCATCCAGAGCTCGTTTAATTGTATCCCGAGCTGGACCTTCGGGTCGATCAGGGGTATTCCCTGCCAGAGGTCGCAGGGGCGCTCTGGGCAGCGACTGGCCTATCGAGGACCAAATCCAACTATACTCGAGACCTCATGGAGAATATGCATGCATCTACCTCCTCGGTACCTCGCAGGGCTGGCCGCGTGATCATACATACGGTACCCTTGACCGAGTTGTCGCCTGGCGGGCCTCGGCTGCCTGCAAGGTTCGGTTGTCGGTCCCCCGGGGGTTCCCACATGCGCCGAGTTTAGATTGCGTCTATCAGCCGTGTGAAGCAGTGAGGACGCCGCGCTCAAACCGTGCTCCCCTGGGAGCTGAGTGACGTCCCCCGCTGCCGGCGGCCAGTGGCGCCCTTCCGCGGCTGATGGATCGCCCCGCGTCACAGATGGGTGGACAGTGGACAGCCTGGGAGCGGCCGGCCGGCTGAGGAGGGGTCACGGGCCGACCCTCCGCGGTGTTTTCGTGTGTCATATAAGATAACCTCTTCCTGGAACTGTATCAGGGAGGGAGTCAAACCCCTCTACTGAGACTGGGATCGCGCCTGGTCGGCTGGTGTCGTGTGTCCTTCTGATGCCACTTCGGGTTGACCCAGAGCGCCCCTTGCCACAGACAGCTGGTGCTGCCGCCTCATCCGTCTGACCCTTTCTCAGATCCCCGAAAGAGGGCTGACCGTCCCCCAGACACCCCCAACAGAGGGCCGAGGGCTGACCCTTCCCGGAATGGCCATCCACCCGATATCCGGTCAGCCGGTCCCTCCGTGCCCGCGGGTGGGCCACCTTCCTCCCTCCCCGGCTACCCGCCCGGGGTCGGTCTGTTTTTGTTTGGGTGACTGAGGTATTTTTCCGGCCGAGAGGTGGCGTGTCCCAGGTTATTATTGGGTGTTTCGGTTAGGGAGTGGTGCGAAAGGTTCGGACCCACCGCTGATACAGGTGGTGGCGGGTGACGCAGGGGAAATAAACGGGGCCAATTGGAGCCGGCAGATAGAGGGATTAGGAATAGGTACCGTGATAACTACATGATGCTGTCTTCCTGTTCCTGTGAATTGAATCGAAAGTCGAATGCATTTGTTTACACCACCACAGTAATAACCGTTCTGGCTTAAACTCCCGAGTGTCTGACCCACGTAGTCGAGCTATTAGTCGAGCTTGTCGTGTAATAATTGTTTCGTGTCCTGTTTCAGAGTTCAAGTTTGTCTTCTACTCCGCGAGCACGGTGGCGGCTGCAAGCCTGGCGGCGGCCGTCCAGGGCCTGCTGCCGGCCAGCCGGGAAGGCGCCATGAACGGCATCTTCAGCCAACTACACCGCATCACCGCCGTCGAAACGGTAAGTTTTTTTTTTTGCGAATTCCGGGCGCATCCAGCCACCCAGCTGTTAACCGCCCCAGCATTTACAGTCCCCTCCCCCAAGCTTGTTCGGTCCCCCGGCCAGTTGTGTGCCCCCCGGGCAGTCAGCTGTTTGACAGACTCCCCCGTCATCCCCTCCCCCTCCCCTGTCCCCTGCCGCCGCGGGCTCCCTCTCGACGGGAGCGTTTCCCATGTCGGCCGGTCGTCGGGGTTCTGTTGACTCTGCCATCGTCGCCGCCGATGTTGGCGTATGTCGCCGCCGACGCCGTCAGCTGATCCGTCTGACTGAGCTGTCGGCGGTCTAGACGGGCGGCCGCAGACGCGACAGGAGGTATCGATCGGTCGGCTCGGCAGAGGGCAGCGACCGCCCACACTCTACCTGCCCGCTACCTGTGCAGGAAATGTAGGCGTGACTGTCTGGGTCGCGACAGAGCTGCCAGTTTACGGGTCCGATTACATCCGGTGGTATCGGCAACAGGTGCTGTATAGAGTGGCCAGTTTAGTGTGGCCCAGACGGCGAAGAATGCGGTACTATCAGATATGACGGGCTCAGCGGGTGTTTTCATGGAAGTTCGACGGCTTTATCTGTATGCTTGGTATAACAGCAGCTGATAAATGAAGTGGTGGCCTTTCATATTGCAAACGTTGTTCACTGATACCTGCCTCCAGGTATTTATTTAGGCCTATGTATCACAATTTATTTTTACTTAGGTTTTTTGTCTCCGCTGAGAGTTGTAGCGTTCTGCCGAGCGGCGCGTGGCTCGGTGACCTGCAGGGGTGCTGCCCGCCCCGGTACCGTGGACCGTGGTGTCGGTGGTGCTGTTGGTGCTGTCGACACGGCCATCTGGTGTCGCCGAGGTCACCAGACAGGGGGCTGCAGCGCGGCACTTGTGAAAGGCCGCCTGTCGGTCGGGCGGCAGCCGTGCGCTGCCGGAGCCGCGACTGTCGCACCCGGCGACTCGGTCTGTCGTACTCGACGACTGGGGGCTGCAACTCGTTCAGCAGTCTGAGTGCTGCCACTGCGGCTGATTCAGCACGTGGCAGCGAGTGGTTCGGCTGAACTGCTGGCTTTCGCTCGACAGACCTGTCATTCGCTCAGCAGACCTGCCATTCGTTCAGCAGAACTGTCATTCGTTCAGCAGAACTGTCATTTTATCGAGAGACCTGACACCCCCTCAGCAGACCTGCCATTCGTTCAGCAGTACTGCCATCCGCTCAGCAGAACTGTCATTCGCTCAGAAAACCTGTCCTTTGCTGAGCAGAACTGCTGACAGGCTCTCGGCACTCAGCAGTCAGCAGTGGGACCACTGTTTTGCTCAGCAGCCACCATGGTGACTCATTAGTTGGACTGCAATCGCTCAATAAGTGACCTCACCTCATCAGAACAGTTCCACTCGCCCACGTGTACCTTGTCACAGATCGTCTCATTGGGGGAGGGGAGGTGTCATTCCTCAGCCATGTCGTTCACCAGCCGCCTGTCATGTCCTGGCCAACGTGACACCGGCCGCGTGCTAGTGGCGAGAAAGGCTAACCTCCAGTCGACTCTGATATATGTGTTACGGGCCAAGTGCGAAGGCTAGTCCGTTTGCGAACGGACTAGTCCATTCGCGAATGGACTAGGCCGTTTGCGAATGGCGGTCCGTTTGCAAACGGACTAGTCCGTTTGCGAATGGCCGGCCATTCGCGAATGGCCTAGGCCGTTTGCGAACGGACGGGTTTGTGGCGTTGCACTTAGCCGCCGGAAGCATGGATCCTCGGATTGGGGTACGATTCCGAATGAATGGGGGACCGCTGGTCGATGCAGGGGCGTCGCCGACGGGGGGGGGGGGTCGGAGGGGTCCGGACCCCCCCAGGTCGGAGGGGTCCGGACCCCCCACACACATTCTTGAAAATATGCCGGTCCGACGCCCCCCCCCCCCCTCCCCCCACACACACACTTTTGGCCACGAAAATCGATCAAGAATAAAATAAAATATTTTAAAAACGATTTTGGTGCATTCTCAAAATAAGATTGTCTAAATCCGAGGAGTTTTCAGTATTTGGTGGGGATTACTTTGACTGACCGTCCGACCAGATCCCCTAGTCGAAAATCCGTGGCGACGCCACTGCGTCTATATGTTTAGTTTGTTCTCCGGAGCAGATCTGCGAGCTGGCGCAACTCTGGGTTAAGGTCTCACTCTCCACACACCTGGTCCATTCGGGATGCGACTTTCCGCTGAACCCTGCACAAGCGGAAATTATAGCAACGTGTTGCCGCTGGCCAGGCTTCGGCCACCGATCTGGATCTGGGGGAGGTCAAATATCCCCGTGACCTTCGAACAGCGGAGAGTCGCGTGGTGTGCGGAGACCATTAGTACCGTGCTCCGGGCTCCCCGCTGATGACCCGACCTGACCTTGGTCGAGTTTGTGGCGCTCGATTCATTCTGCTCTGGTGTGGTGTACCGGGACGGTGCGGCTTGTGTGTGGTGAGTGCGGTGCGGTGAGTGTTCGAAGAACTGTTGTGTTGCATTGCATTTAACCCGCGCCCCGTTGGGCTCTGCCGAGCAACGCGCCCTGTTGGGGGGGGGGGGGGCATTTTGCCCCCCCCTAAGATCTCGAGAACCACGCAACCTAGCAACAAGCGGCAAACGGTGTTGGATAGCCCTATCAGGGAACTACCTTGTGATCCAATTTTATCGACCTAGGTCAAACCGATGACGTCACAGGTCAGGTCAAAGGTCCAATTTTCAACGTTTACAGGCATTTCAAGAAATGCGTTGTAAAATCGAGTAAAATGCATTTCATTGAAAATCATCGGTGTAGAAATGTTCTTCAAACACATATTTTGCTATTTGAGGTCACTGATACCAGGTCAGGTCACAGAGGTCAGGTCACGGAGGGGCCACAATATGAAAGTGTCGTGTGATACATGTTTTATGGTCCATTTTACATGACAAATGCGATTATGTGGGTCAGGCAGCCTTTGGGGCCAGCTTAGGTCACGTTTTGGTCAAGGTCAGGTCAAGGTCAGGTCAAGGTCAGGTCAAATTAGGTCAAATTTCAAAGTTAATATTTTTGCACAAAATTGAAATGGGTATCGAATCGATGCAGCTCGTCACGGGGAGTTCAATGTTGGTCTTTGTTTTGCCGTACGTGGTCTAGAATCGCTAACAATTGAGTTCAAAAATTTGACGTCATCATTTTTGAACAGTTTTTTCGCTATAACTTGGCCAAAAAACGAGATATCGATCTGAAATTTGGTATGTATATAGAAGAGCGCAGGGACTATCACATATATTCCGTTTTTTTCGAAATTCGGAAAAAGTTTTGATTTTTTATAGTTTTTCTAAAAAAATCAATTTTTTGAATTTTTTGGGGTCAAAAACCCAAAATTTTGAAAATCCTAGACAGCAGTTTTGTAGCACCGCTTTGTGTCTACTAGACCAAATAAAGAACTTTGAAATTGCTTGATAACTGTAGATTTGGTGAGCGTTTCAAGATTGCATGTTTTTTGCTCATTTTTGCTCGAACATGACCTCAGTTTGACCTCAATAACTCCTGACCTAAGGTGACCTAAGACTTGAAATTTGGTGTGAAGGTGTCAAATTGATGCCCGGGAAGGTACTAAAAAGTTGGCGGCGCTGCGCGCCGCCGTTTTCTTGCTATTCAGGAAAAATCACAGGGGGGCCAAAATGCCCCCCCCCCAACGGGGCGAGGGTTAACAATACGCGCACTGCAGGGGGGGGGGGAGGTTGCTTTCAACCTCCCTGTGGTTTTTCACAGATCACGAGAAAACGGCGGCGCGCAGCAAAGCCAATTTTTGTATACCTTTTATCCCATATTCTGCACACATTGTGTGAAAATGCTGACTCCAGATGACCTCTTGCTGGATATTTCGCACTTGGCCTGACTTCGCACATGGACTGGGAGCATAAACGCCCGTCCATTCGCAAACGGCCTAGGCCAACTGCAATAACGCACATGGACTAGTCCATTCGCGAATGGCCTAGTCCAAGTGCGATAACGCACTTGGACTAGTCCATTCGCGAATGGACTAGCCTTCGCACTTGGCCCGCAACATATGTATCAGCACCGGATGTCGCCTTATTAAACAATCGACCAATATGCAAACATGCTGCTCTGGTTGCGTCAGGGAACATCTGGCTGGCTGCGGTGCGGCATGTGGCATACAGAAGTGTGGGCAGCTTGAGGGCTGAGGCATGATGACACTGTCTGTGAGACTATCGGCTCCCGGAGTCAGTCTTGAGGCATCAATCCAATGACTAACCTATTGACGGGTCGGGAGTCTGCCCCATCTCTCCGCCCGTCAGTCTGTGGGAGCCCCCACCCGCGCGGTCTGTATGGGGTTGATCTCCATCCTTGCTGCTGCGCTGGCGAGCCGCCCGCCGGCGACCCTGGACCGCCGCCGAGAAGGAGGTAGTCGGCGGGCGGGCGCTGCGACGACGACCTTCAGTTGAGCGTTCACCCTGGCTGGCGGGCAGACGGCGGTCGGGCCGGCCCGTGCCTCTCTGCTGCCCCTCCCCGGCGTTCCCACGGTCGGCCCAGAGCGGACCGGCGCCCGCAGTAAATTGATAATGGTGTCGCTTTTATATCGCTGTCGGTCTTATTTTTAGCAGTGGGTAGTAGGACAGGTCCCGGGATTCGTCAGGATGGGGAACACAAAGTGTATCTCTGGCCCGCCGAGAGATAGGGCCTTGGCCGAGAGTACAACATGAAGAAGGTACACATTCTGTTCCTCTGGACGGGCCTGCGAATCCTCCTTGCTCCCGAGCCATGGTCCATGTATCCGATCGGGACAGTTGTACCCCTCAGGTCAGCAGTCGGCACCTCAGACCAGGCCTGATGCACCCTTTGTACCCCTTTGAACGGTCTGACTACTTGTTATGCACTCTACACTTATACATTCAGAACATGTTACACAGTTTGGGCCTCTAGCCGCGTCTGAGGACTCCCTTTGCACCCGATTCACCGCCTGGATCTTTAGCTCGGGCCGGTCCGTCTGAGCGTACCCATCTCGGTCGCCATCACACCCTTCTGACCAGCCATGAAGGTCACATCCCTCCCCGCCCCCGCCCCCGCCCCTGCCCCTCCGTCGCAGCAGCGGTCCGCCAGCTCCGGTCGCTGTGGAGGCTTTGATCTCGAGTCGATGCTGAGTCTGACTATCAGCAGCTGACTCCATCGATTCAGGGTCACTGAGTCATCGGTGCTGGCGCAGGAACTGGGCTGGTCCTCGGACGGGTACACAGAGACATCTAGTGACGGTGGGGTAAACTACTGGCCAGGCGCGCGGTCAAGGTCTGGGATGGGTAATGGAAGGGGTTGGGCTGGTCAGAACGGCTGTTGATAGGTTATTTGCGTCCATCAATTGTTGTTTGGCGTGGGGTGCTGCTATTGCGACTGGCGTTTGTAGCACTAATGACTGCCTTTTATGAACCTAATGCTCAGTCGTCATTTGTTGTAACCATATGTAGAGTGTAGACCTCTGTAGACCTCGGCATACAGAGGTCTGTGTTGTTAAGTTCACTCGGCTTCCCTAAACCCTCCACTCCACTGACGATATCTCCCGCCTTCTCTCCCAGGAGCTGATACGGAACTGCACCTACCAGATCGAGGAGATGTGCCGACTGTTCGCTGAGGAGCAGGCTAACCGTGATGCCCTCGCGGCCTCCGGCGCCACAGCCACCGACGAGACCAAGTCCAGCAAAGCCGAGACGCCGACAGACGTGCGCGAGGTGCACTTCTGACGGCCGCCGTCACCGGCGGGGCGGCGTCGGGCCCGACGACCCGCCGCTCCCGCCCCCTCCTTCGTCGAATAGTCATCTCTTGCAAAGCGGTGTAGATACGTTGTTTTTCTGAACGTTGTTTGGTGGCTCCGATATCGGGGTTTGCTGGTAAGGACCAGTCCGCATTAAATGGAATTAGATGATAGACGCCCAATCCCTCGTCGGCGACCGAATCCCCGCATGCCGAAGGCGCCGCAATACACGCCTCAGTGAGTTGAAAAAGGGCTCAGGAACCGTGGAGCGCACTGCTGGGATTGCGGCTCCTCAGCCAAGAGTCAACTGGTCACCGGCGCTAGAGTGTCCTGCCGAAGCCACGGGCGCTGGTCGGCCCCTCATATCAAGCGTCGGGTCAATGCTGCAATACCGGGTTGTCTTCGAAGTGCCTTCCAGCCAGGTGGCCCGTTGAGGGTCTGTGTGCCATACTGGAGACGTAGGGGAGTGAGTGAGTGAGATGAGTGACTGAGAGAGCCGATGAGTGAGTGAGTCAGCGTGTGGGTTAGTAACTGGGAAAGCAAGCGACTGGGTGAATGAGTGAGTGAGTGAGTGAGTCAATGAGTAAGTTAATGAGTGAGCGAGGCCCGTACTGGACGGTGAGTCGGACCCGGGACCACTGCCAGCTGCCACTGCCGAGGTCCGGCCAGCTCACTCGGCTGAGCCCACCAACTTCTGTGAGCTGAGCCAGGGAGACAGACCTTCAAACCTGCTCCCAACACTACAATGCATATAGCTGAGAATTCGGCGCGTGTGGCGTGTGCTTAGTTTTGAATGCCGAAAACTTTGTGATACGATTTGTGTGCCATTCTGTTTGAGGCGCTACTTGAGTAGTGAGGACAATGATTTTAGAAGTGGTTTGTCAGGCGGACGCGCTGCGTCCCAATCGCTATGAAATACAACTGCGAACGTGTGCGTTTGAACCGTTTTGTTTGGTCGAACCAGTGGTTTGATTTGTTTCGCAAGGGCCAATTAATTTTATAGTGAGTGTGTTTACTGTCGTTCATATGTTCCTTCTCTTTGTTTTATTCCTTGAATGAATGACATTTTACGCTTTATATACGCACCTCACAGTTTGTTCAATATATAATTGTTTGTACACGCTGCCTTTATGAGTCTGTGGAAGAATGTGGCGCTTTGGGTACCTCAAACACCGCTCGCTTTTGCATACACCGGACATACCTCTGGGGCCCGATATTGACTTGGATCATCCCGGGCGCTGTGTGCCGCGGGTTCAGCCACGGTTGGGTCCGTGATAGCCATGTTTAATTACACCCGGCTGTTGAGTGCGCCCGATAAATACATTAAGGACTTGGGAGGCTCCGACGCTTAGATCATCAGCTAGGAAGTGGGGCTCTGTCGATAACAGCTTATACAACTTGTAAGGAGTTCGAAAGTTTCACGTCGCCTTCCACTGCTGGCACTACCTTCTTGGTAAACATTCTCTCACCAAAATAAAGCTCCACGCCTCTCTGCATACATATATTGATAAAAGATCAGGACGTATGCTCACACCTCACACGCTGGTGACGAATCTGAACTTTATCTGAGATTCTGATATCGATCGTCACACCGACAGGCTCTGACCCTCCACCCGTAACACACAAACCGCCACGGTGAGCCGAAGGATACCGGCGTATCCAGCTCGAAACCTCATCACGCCCGACCAGACGGATTCTACATAGTCCTCGATCTAGTTCTAGATTGTCGATCTAACTACATAGTATTTACAGGTCGCTGCACCAGGCAGCAGCGACTCAGATCTTTAAGATTCCACACCACTGGCTTTTTACACCTGCCGCTGGACCCTTCGGGGTTCATGGCATGCTACATACAATACCTCCTTCAAGCTGGACCCTAGGCGAGTCCCCAACACCACCCTCCTCTGGTCACTCACAGACCCTCTACACCAGTCGCTGCTAGACCCTCCGGGGTGTTCCCGACAGACCCCCACACCACTGGTGTCGGTCCTTCACGGGGCATCCTGTACCACAGGCAGTTGGCTGAGGAAGGTGGTAATGAAGGGAATGAACTCCTCGCTGCGAATCAGGCTCTTCAGCAGCGGGGCGGCGTCACTGACATCCGTGCCGGCCTTCTTGAGCAGGTTGACGGCGCTCTCGATCTCGGTAAAGACCAGCTCCAGGGTCACCGGGCCGTGCGAGTCGTGTAGAGGCACCTGGGCAAAGCAGGGAGTCAGAAATCACGGGTATTAGAGTCATACAAGGACACTTGGGCTGAATCGGGAATAACGCTATGCTAAGAAGCGAACAGGGGCACATAAAACTCTACAGCTATCACAATCACATGTGAAATCACAACTAGGTTGTGTTCAACTGAAATACATGAAGACTGGACAGCTTTATCATACTGACACGATTTCATACTTGCGAGACTTTTGAGTTTGGTGTTGTACGACTACGGTTTGTTACGTTGTGAGGTATTTATCAATCCATAGATGTTGAATGCGCAGCTGACTCGCGGATCGTAGCGCCCCCTCACAGCCCCACGAACCCCGGATGGTGCCGCCCCATAGCGCCACCTCGCCCACTGGCACAGGAAAGGAATTCGAGTGACTTCCCTTATCTCATCGTCCACAAACATGAGTATGGCGCGCTGCACCCAGTGGCGCTCCCCCCACCCAGTCACGCCCCCTCACCCGGTGTCGGCACCACTGCCACAGCTGCGAGCGCGATATCTCGGCGGTCGCCGAATCCTCCATCCTGCCGCGATGAACGAACTGCCCTTGGCCGTCCAGCCAGGCGTGGATGAACATCAGGCTGACGCAGACGTTCTCGTGGATGCCGCCAGTGGTGATGTGGCCTTTCGGCACGGCCAGCAGTTGTGACAGGTCCGGCGCTACCTCAGGGCCCGGGTGTACCACCTCCCACAGCTGGGGGCGGGAGAGGGCGGCGTCAGGCGAGAGTGTGAAACAACGAACATATAATCTGATAGAAATCTGGCATTAGCTTATCACGTGATCGGACTCAAAACCAGTTATCAGTGTTAATACTGCAGTTGTATGTCAGTAGGCAGTACCTAACAACCACGAATTACCAGCTTTGAAACAACCATAATGAAATCAATAAAATTCAACGTGATAAAATTCAACACAGACGGCTATTCAAGCGGATGGCTGAAGTAGGCTACAACTCGAAAGTGAACCACAGGCGATCCGTTACCGCAGTTGAACACGAGTCTGACCTGATGTAGCGCAGGGATCATTTTGGGGTCATGGGCCAGGAATCCATCCACTCCCTCCTCGATTTCGGCTCTTTTCGCCAGCACCACTGACGTGATTATGGAGTTTCTGGGGACACGAACCGGGCGAGTGTGAGCCGATCGGCGCCGAAACCGAGACGGCATAAAGTCATGTATACGACGATTGCTTAGGGTATCTGGGGTATTCCATCAAAAAGGTATTCCACTTTGTTAGACTCTTGGTCATTGGTCGATAATTACTAGTCTAGTCAGCGTTCGATGACTGATCAGTAGTTGAGAGTCTCGCTGGCCAGTGCATTGTCTTCAGTCCCCATCGCCCGCCACCACTCTAACCTGAGCTCGATGTCCTCTGGCAGCACCTGGGGCGCCATGCCGGCCGTCACGAGCGCCTTCCTGCGCCGGCCCACGGACAGCGCGTGCCGCAGGTAGGCGGTCAGGAACGGCGCAGCCATGGTGATGTTGGTCCCCCGGTCAGGCAGGACAAACTCCGGTCGGCGCGCTGCAGAACGAAAACAGATCAAAGAGTGATGGGAGCCGCACGGTTTGTTTGTTTTGCAAGCTTGGGTCCTCCCGGTCTAATGAGGCCGTTTCGGAGCTAGGAGGATAATTGGCATTAAGCGGAAACATTTGGTTAAGGCAACCACCCTGGTGCGTCGCCAGGGCTGAGCCCGTCACGAAAGGCATGTCACCCAGCCCCGCTAACAGTCACCGCACGCGAGCATGCTCAAGAGGAGCTACTCACGTTGGATAAAGGTGACCGGCTAGCACAGTTAATGGGTTTAGAGGTGTAGGGGAGGGGAGGGGAGGCCGAAGGGGTGAGGATTTGACTGTTCTGAGAGTGGAACAGAGGGATCGAAGGCAGCACGGTGTCCCCAAATAAGACGACCTGATTTACTTGCTAGATTTGTAGTGCAAGGTCCATTAAATTAGTCAGTGCTAAAACTGAGTGCATAAATTACGTACCCATCTCATGCTTGGCAGCTTGATGCCTCAGTAGTTATTCATACACCATACATGAACCAATATTGACCGCTCACTTATATCAATCAAAAACACTCAGTGACGAAGATAAATAGCCTCCTGCCTTGCCCAGATATTGACGTGCAGTCATACGTACAGAATTTGCTGATGAACGATGCGGCGTAGTCCCACATGCCACAGTTGAGGCCCAGCGAGTGTTCCCGCAGTTCGTACAGCATGTCCTCGATCTCACACGCCGCCAGGACGTTCTCAATCATCAGAACGGCGCGGATCGTCCCTGGAAGTCAGACGTAGTTCGGGCTGACGACATGCGAAACCAATCGCAAGAAGCTTCAACATCAGTGGTTTCTGAGGCAAGCACAGACTAAAGGGTCAACAGTACTTCTGAAGCCTGCTAATGGTACGCTTTTTGAGTGATTGATCGATGTTAACTGATCCAGTTTCTATACTTCCTTTAATTTCAAGAACGATGTTTTTCGGGCAAAACGTTTCATTGCATTTTTACTGGCATGAAAACGAGCCTGAAAGGGTTGAAGAATATTCCAAACTTCCTTCTCCGACTTCACTCCCGTACCTCTGTCCATCTGCAGCCTGTCCTCGGTCCAGCAGAAGATGCTGTTCCACAGTCGTGCCTCCAGCACCGCCTCCAGTTTGGGCAGGTAGAGGGCGGGTCCGCGTCCGGCCGCCGCCAGCTTTCGGCCGCAGTGGAACAGCAGCAGGCTGCCGGGACGGGGAGGGAGACGGGGTCATGACCAGGGCGGGGAACAGGCTGGATAAGCACACAGACGGTCACATGAAGTTCCGACCGTTGGGTGTGGGCTCGAGGCGCACACAGGTCGACAATATCTCGGTCTCGCCTCATATGCCTTTCCAGCAGGCCTCGGAAAGCCAGAAGTCGTTTACCGCAACAGACCAGTTATTTGTTTGACAGACCTCGACAGACCAGACGCCGTCTGTCTCAGCTCACTAGTGACCGCCTACATCGGCAGCCCGCCTCTCTGACATCCAGCGCACACGACTCTACCTCACTTACCAGCAGACTGTCAGCTCACCAGCCATTATCGGCTACCAGTGGCTGTTCGACCGCCGGTGGCCCGCACCACTCACCAATAGTCAGTCAGCGCTCCGGGCATCGGCCGGCCGCCGATCAGCACGTTATACTCGGTCATATTCCAGGCCCGTGGCCGCAGCATCAGCACGGGCGCCTGCTCCAGCGGAGGCATCTCCATGTCTCCAGTGGATGCCAGCATCACGTGGTGCCAGCCGAGCAGCTGGTTCCGCCACGTGGGGCAGTGGCCGTCATCAAAGTCTACCTGACGGGTTATAAGGTTTGACGTCATCGATCCAGTTCGTTTTATGTACATGTGATGAAAATATATCTGGAAGGGCTTTGGCCTGGGACATTCTGCAGATAAGCATGCATCCCTCTTTTCGTAACAGGCAATGCCTGATGAAACATGAACCCTGTATGTACGTTATATGTGGTAAGTGATGACCCTGCACGCCATTAAAACCGACAATCAGGCACAAGCAACGTTCGCGATGCAGCCCGAGACACATTTTAACCCCTTAGCCCTCGTCGATTTGTGACGCATCATCATCACCTGAACTCCTGAGGCGGTCGAGTTGAGCGCGGCAGTCAGCTGAGTCATATCGGACGGAGTGACATCACCGAGGTCGATCCGCCTGTCTTTCAGCCCGTCCGGTAGAGGCGCCACCGTCCAGTCGCCGTCCGTCCGGGCCGATTGAGAGGACACCATGGGCAGTTCGCCACTGGTGTTGAGCGCCAGCTGGCGCCGACATCGCTCGTCGTACAGCTGCCCGACACGACCGGTGTTGATACATTCAGTAACACAGAGGCATAGGTGGAGAGATGGACGGGATACAGCTTGAAGAGAGACAGGGACACGGTCGGATGATGTTAGAACGCCTGTATCCACAATGGTACGATGGTGCTTCTGCTTATGAACAACACCGAAAATCCAGTGACCTGGTAGCTGCCAAGCTCTCACTTCCTGATTGCTAACACACATAACAAGCTGTCTCGTATCTACTGTCTACACTTATCCATCACTTACACAGTGACCCCAAAGTAACCATTGATCTTATGATCAGACGCCGTCAGGGAGGTTAACATATGGGACAAGACAAGTTACGAGAGGCTGGGTGCAGCGTGCGATAAGAGCTCCCGTAGGTCGCTCACCGTCTGAATATCATTTCTGAACCGCGTGTAGCAGTCCAAGAGGAAGGCAATGGCGTCCGCGGTGAACACCGCCGCGTGCTGCTCCTCCAGTCCGCTAGGCGGCGCTGCGATCTCGACTTCACTCGCGGCGGGCATTGCGCAGTGTGAAGGGGCTGCACGGACGGAAACGGTTAATAAGGGTGCAGTTCAACAGGTCAACTCTACACTGCAGTTACAAACAGTGCAAACAACACGTTTAAAGCATGCAATCTTACATTGAAATGAATGGACTTGGACTAAAATTTCACCGCCAGCCTAAGGCATGCCGTTTTATTCCAAAACTGATTGACGACTGACGTCGTGTTTACCTATAATGCCCTGTTCCAGAGTGTAATTGTGTGTGAATACTGAGTACCGAGTAATAATCCCGTTAATCAGCATGCTCGTATCGTCATCAACTGGGCTGTTGTTGAGCGCTCAATGCGGATATCTTCTCTTGTTGCGATGGGTCACCAACAGTTTTTCGGCAATAACAGAAATTCGAAACGATCGCGCTACGGCAGGGACTGTGAAGAAGCGTACCTTGAATGGGGACATGCATATAGGCAAACTATAAGCAAGATGAAGAAGCATCGTCATACTTTACACTTTTGTCCTCTGAAGGAGACTTCAGAAAAGATCACTGACCCTATGTCAAATCTGACGAAAAGTTCGAAAGGTACTTATCGATTGAGTGCAGAGGAGTTATCGATTTTTTTTTCTCACGATATTGCAGCCATAAGAATTACTTAACGCGCTAAGGACCCCTTTATTAACCACGTCAAATATAAAAAAGATACCAGTTGGTGACTTCAATTATGACACGGCTTTTGATCTGACAAAAGAAAGACCTTAATACTCCCCATCGAATTTGACATTAAAAGCCCGTTCATCCCATGTCGCGGCGCGGCTTAGGAGCCGAGTGAGCATTGGTATAAAGTAAACATCTCCAGTCACTTGTCCTTCGAGTGTCACTGCCACGGCTTTAAACAGTTGTCATTATTCAAGCTTAACATCTTTTATCCAACACTAATCCAATCCATGACAAGTACTCGCCTTCTCAGGACGGTGTTAGTTCTCTCCTCCCAGCTCTCCACTCGTCTCGTCCAACAGTGCACAACCACGGTCGGAACGGCACTGAGCGCTGAGCCTGGCCCCTCGGTCGGCCCCTCGTCGGCCGGCCGCTGGCGGCGCTGGCTCCGGTGCGATGGTGAGCGCTGATACACAGTGCCGGCCCGATGTCCGCCCGACAGCTCCGGAGACGGCCCAGCTCCATCGCTCTCCGGGACGCATGCAGATGACCGCTGCTGCGTCCGATGGGATGCGCACAGTGCCTGTGACCTGCGCAGGAGCCGTCCGAAACCGTCGAGGCTGCGCGGTGACATCTCCTACCGGCAAGGACAGGCCCTCGACGCACAGCAGTAAACACTATAAATCAGGCGGTCGGTTAGTCGTCCGGTCACCACTGTCTGCAAAGCAAGGACCCTAACTACGAGCTGCTCAGCGCTCATACTCAGCCATTCAAAAGAGCGAATTTAGATGAAACGTGCAGATTCCGACCCAAGCCATTAGGGGTAAGTTTACCGACAGCATGTCTAATTAGAAAGGGATATTTAACTACTGGATGGGAACTCACCAAGCCAATGTTGTTTTATACCTTAGCTCGCATTTTAAGTACTAGAGCATACGGCCGTTTATTCAAAATCCCGTTTAAATAAGAAATCCGATTAAATCTAAATTCATGTTTGGATGAAGCTTCCTTGAGTTCGGATATAAAACTTAACGACTTTACAAGACATGGAAAATATGTAGCTCAGAGGCATCGATTCCTGCACCGAAAACATTTTTACGAAACTATTCATCGTATCAAATGCCAACTTCCACTGAGTTTCTAACACGAGAAAGAGCTGATGTTCAGGACTTCAAATTCCAGAATCTTCTCTCAGGGAGGGTGAACGGTGGAATCTTCACTGCATCAAAACTGAGCCGTCAGCGCAGCTCAGAGCCTGCAACTTCCTAACCCATGACAGGAATACCACAACGACCATGAGCATATCCTGGGAGTGACCGGACCACCTGTGATATCCTCACCTGTCTTCAGCCCCAACAGGTGGTCACTACTGAGGATAAAGTCAGCTCCGCGGCCACCGCCCGCTCAAAGGCGCTCCGGTCTCGCACGTGGCACATGCCTGAAATCCATCATGTTATGAAACGATAATAGATCACCCACTGTGCACTGAATCAACTACATCCTGTGATAGGGCGAGCCTGACTGCCAGAGATAGGAAGGCGGTCGAGAGTGATCAAATGCGGCGGCTTCCGAGTGACGGGACGGGATCAGAATCGAGCATTTATTTTCATTCCTTTTTGAGGATAGCCAGTGAATGCACATCTGAAAGTATCTAACATGTGATCTTGATATGTTGCATTGCTGAGTGAAAAACGTAAGCTTTGTTTTTCGCCAGCCTTTCGGAAAACATTGACCACTGCAGCTCTGCTGAGGACACCGTGCGTTGTGCGAATTTCGGCCGGATGACCTTTGCTGACCCCTGGGTCATACGGTCAAAGGTGTCGCCGCAACACGCGACTCCACTTTCGGTTTGCCATTGCCGTCCAGCGCCGGCGGTCGGATATTCCCCAGTCGCGCTGTGCTCCGTTTGTTGACAGTCACCCGGCGCTGGTTGCCCATCACGTGCCTGGACTCGAGCGCCTGTCACGTGCGGGAGTCTGTAACGGCGCCAGTCGCCGCCAGGGACCGACCGATGCGCCGACCGGCCGACAGCATACATACATACAACAGCCGGCGAGCCCTGCCCGCAGAACAGGGCCGGCCGACAGCCCCATCCCGAAGACAAGGCATCGGGGCTGATATCGTGGGCAGGCGCCTTATGTAACCCTTCACAGGCCGGCCATCGTATGAAGTCAGGTACGCAATCAGTTATCCAACGCAGGGGCTAGCAGGGCCCATACACGCCTTCCGAACATGCGGTAAAGTCACCGCTTCAGCTCGTCTCGTCACCGCTCGGGCTGATTGAATTGAGACACGTACTGAGACATTCCGTGAGACAAACCCAATCTCCATACTCTGACAGCTGCCACGAGACGCTCGGCCACAAATCTCCAGACGGATCCCCAGCCAGCCGCTCAAAAAGGCACGAGCCTAATCCACGGCACTGGCAGCCACCCACAATGTAGCCAAACCGGACTGGTCGGCGGACGAAGGAGAGAGAACGGGGAACACGCCACTGCGGCCGAGTCTCCGCCACATCCGCCACTCTGCGCCGCCGTCTGACATTTGGATAAAAAACCTACACGCGCCAGCTTACATAAATCACCAGACGTCTCGCTAATGCTGGCTGAACGCGACGCCGTTGACGGGTTTTACTTCCAGGCGCGAGGCGGATTTAAACACCAACCAAGATATAAGACGGTATATTTTCCGCAGACGACCAATCAGTCATCTGACACATTCAGCCGGTGTAAACGAGCCACCTGAATGGCAGTTCACTGGCCCTCAGCGATAAGCTTTTGATTTTGACATTCGATGCCGATGGTTCATCATTGGGCTAGAAGCTTCCGCTACCAACCAGAGGACGAGTTTTAGCATATTGGTGACGTCACATTATCTAGCTAGGACCAGTGGTTGACTATTCTGCCAGACAGCCGAGCGGGTATCCTTCAAGGATCCTGCACTTTCTCTCAGCCAGCGCGCACACATCTGTGTAGCGACCGTTACATAAGAGTCCTCCCTAGTTCTGGCAAACGCTTGGCATACACGATAAACAGATGCAACATTGATCAACGACAATACGTATCAAACTTGACCAGCGCGGGGTAAGATAACACAAACAGTCAACGATCAGACATCGTCACACAGACAGCTGATGACCCCCAGAGGTGAACACGATACCTTACGCTACTGCGACACAAGTGACAGTGATAGACCGTCCCTGGTACACCCTCTTCGCAATCGGGTCATGTTACGATTCCTGGTCATTGAACAGCGCTCAGCCTCTAGTTCACAGGCGACTAGCCAGACATTCACAATAAGATACGGGGTAACACGAGTGCGACATACCGATGAACACGAAGAATACTGTCTTTGCGAAAATGTATCCCAGAGGCCACTTATCCAAACATATAGTCATTGTCGTTTTTGGAGGCCAGCCTCAGTCATCACCCAATTATACGCACCGAAAACACAAACAAGTTGATTGTAAATACATACACACCAATGGGTAGCATGGAAATGCATACATTTCGGACACAAAAAGGTCACACTTAAAGAAAGGTCACACTTAAAGTCAGTGTTAAAATGGTTCACACTACGAAAATCACCAAAGATATTCATACAACATTCATGTCAATTAGCTGGCTGTGCGTACCTTTATCTTAATTATGTTCTGATCAATAGCGAATATAAATGGTCACATGTTTTCCACCACAGAGAAACATAACATCACACGTTGTGACACCGGCGGACCCATTCCGAAGGGCATAATGCTCCAGAGTTCAGCCAATCTTCAGTTCCATCACTTTCACCGGCTTGTTATGCGTTAGTACCTGAGAGCTGAGGCAAGCGAGGCTACAGACCTCGGCAGAGGCTACGGACCCCGCCAGCGGCAGAGGCTATGGACCACGGTAGCGGCTGAGACTATGGGCGCGTTCGCAGCCTCCCCGGACGAAGAACATTCTACGTCGTCCGGCCAATCCCGTTCGATAACCGAAGCCAAGCCCCTGCTGACCTCGAACGCCACTGGCCGGACGACGTAGAATCTTCGTCGTCCGGTAGACTCCGAATTCGGGGTATGGACCACGGCAGCGGCAGAGGCTAAGGACCACGGCAGAGGCTACGGACCCTGACAACGGCTAACTGTTGAGCGGGCTAGACATTGGCTCAGCGACTTACTACCTGTTGTGAGCGACACTTCATCGATCAGCACACGCGCGCCGACGGAACCCGAGCCAGACAGTCGTGCGGCAATTAAGTGGGGTAATATCGATATTGACCAGTCGAACCTAGATGAAAACTAACTAAATCTACGGTCGAACAATAATATCCTGCAATCCACGATAAGATGATGGTTTCTTGCAATGCAACCGGGGGTCGCTAACAGGACTTTCATCATTCAGACGGAAAGGTAGCCTGCTACTAATATTCGGCCAAAAAATGCTTAAGTATCTCTACATGACTTAGTAAAATATGGTTGATCAAACAATGCGGAAGTTAAACCATAAAGCAATGCAAAGTTGACATGACACTCCAAACACGAGATCTGCTTTGCTGCCGCCTAGCTTTTCGCAGTGAAGCACTACCTACCCTAAGTTTGATGCACCTAAGTATTTATGCCAAATAAAACAAATATCGCACAGATGGGAAACAAACTAAGCACACGCAAACGTGAAAGAGATGTAACTGTCGAGAGTGAATCGTTTAGCGTAAAAAGAACGTGGATGAGAATAAAGACGAAATCCAAAAGTACATGAGATGATTCGAAGGAAGTAGAAAATTGAAGGTATTGCGAAACTGATGGACGGATGATGATGCCTGTTTGAGTCGACTTTTCTATGTGCGTCACTGGTTTCACTATAGCGATACAGATGAGAGCACTGTTTCACGGTTCATCAGGAGCTAGTCGGTACGATAGAGGTCCAGTGTGCCGGTGGAGGATGGCCGGGGCAGCTGGGTAGGCCTGTCACATCAACCGGGCATCGCTGGTGGCTGGACCACACCACACCACAGCGGCCCATCCCGATCACCGGCGGTCGCCTCTCTTCACAACGCCCCCTCCCCTCTCAGCCATCGAATTCACCACCGGCACTACTCTCCCATCCCCTCCCCACCCTCCACGGCAGCACGACCCCGCACTGGACACTCAGCTGGACGACGACAGACGAGAGACAGTCGAATCTTCCACCACCTCTCAGATGGGCCGTGGACTGTGCAGCCCGGCCACGTCCGAGCCGATGGGTGGCTGATGAGCGGCGCCGGCCGGCCCCCAGTCGGCCAGGCCGCCCGAGAAAGAGACGCGGTGCGTGAGACGATGCGTGATGGAGAAGCCGCCACTGCCCTCTAGCTGCGTCAGAACTATGATCACCTGTCTGGAATGACAGGAGACGGGGCACAGGTCAGTAAATTGCGTGGAATTGAGCGTCACAAACCATTATACATCGCACGGAACACTGCGTCAAAATGCAGGGTATCGCATGGGTTACATTGTCATTGTAGAAAGAGAAACTGATGTAAGGATGGTTTCAACACTGCTAGCAAGCGATGTCAGGCAACGTTTATCGACTGTCTGGCCCAGAGGCGTCCCATGGCTCACCGGTGCAGTGGCGGCACGGCGTCGGCAGTGCGCAGCTGGGCCCGCGTGCTGACCACGTTGTAGCTCTCGCTGCAGTCGCACGCCACCTGAATGTAGCGGTCCGAGTGGCGGTTCTCCACTACCACCACCAGGCCGGCCCAGCCCTTGGTGAGGTAGTAGGCCGTCATCCCCTCGCGGCCCTGTCGGGACACATACAGTCAGCTCATCGCAGACGAACACAGCTCAGCTATTGGTAATACAGCCGCAGCGTGGATAAATGCAGCTACGCGCAGACTGTTGCCAACAGCACACACATACCGAAATACTCATGATTGATAACAGACCACACTATTTCTACACAGTTAGAAAGATGACGACCAAATCGCGTATCGACAGACAACGTAATCCGTCAAAATACGACACAATTTATAGCATCATTTTACAAACAATTGGACCATCACTCGCTCAACCGACACCATTCAATCACGACGACCAATGTAGGTAACAACCGTCGACGTCACCCACCTCGTGTCGCTGTCCCCGCGTCAGTGTCAGCTGTATAATGGTGTCCGCCAGCAGGTGGTTCTCTGGCGGCGCAAGCTGCACGCTGAGGTGGCGACCCGAGTGGAGAGACAGTACGTGCCCGGGGTAGCGCTGCTCGGCTCCGGCCGCCACCGCCGTCTGCCAGTGGTTGAACGCCACACAGACCACCAGGTAGTTACCGGGCTCCAGCATGGCGTGACAGCCGACGAAGCCGCGCACCTGGGGAGAGGGATGGATGTTAGCGACAGGCCTGACAGGGATGACAGACGGCCGACGTAGAGGCAGATTATATACAGGGGGCGGGCAGGGGCGAGACAGGGGAGGCCAACAACAGAATGAGAGAGGCGACCAGGATACAAACCGGATCAGCGACCACCTGATAGACGCTCAGACTATGATCATGAGCGACCGAGTTTCACACAAAACATGAATAGTCCACGACCACTGCTCGGCCAACCATCCCAATCTCACCATCCCACGACAGAGCACCCAGCGCCCTCTCCATTTTCTCACCTGTCGCCGCGAGTGCTGCACCAGTTTCCCTGGACAGAAAGGCGGCCGGTCGGGAGCGTTAAACACCGCCACACACAGGTCCAACTGAAGTCGCACAGCCTTCTCCGAGTTTCTCTGGCCCTGCTGGAACAGTGTGAGCTCCAGCTCCGTGGGTTCGGTAACGGTGAGAAGGTAAGCGCCCAGGTGGCGTGGTGAGCTGAGAGGAGGCAGCAGGCCTGTGAGGCGAACCTCGTGCCAGTCGCGGCGCACCTTACAGATGTCGATACAGTCGAAATAGCTGCCGGACAGACGGGTGGGGACAGGGAAGGGACAGGTCAGACGCGAGAACCGGCTAATAACTCAGCGGCAATCAGATTGGGCGACTGAGAGCACGTATTTATTCAAACATGAAGTGCTGAATGTGCACTGCGTGCAATGAGCAAATTTTAGTGAGCACGTTGACGTTGACAAAATATCCAACGATTTTCCGTGACCTACCCTTAGGAAAAGGCTGGAGTGAATAGTAATACATAAGTTCACTCGTGCAACGCATCATCAATTCCGACTAGTCCAACTTTGGCAAGACTCACGTCAGGAGGTCGTCGTAGCTGATCCAGAACACCCCACCACCATCCCCGCCTCCGCCTGCCGACAGCTGCGCGCGCAGCTCGGGCGTCCAGGCGTCTGAGCCTTCACTCCACTGTCCGCGCCACGAGTAGTGTCCCCAGGGGTTCCGTAATCGCAGCAGTCGGTACCCAGCCGCCTCCCGCACGTCCAGCACGGAGTAGGCATGTCTGTGGACGTAATGGCATCAATCTGAGCCGGAGCTGATTTGGAGGTAAGACTAGGCAGCCAAGCTCGAGAAGATCAGATATTATTTGCAATGGTGAAGAGAAGTTGAGCAATTAACGGTCATTTTGTATGTTTGCAATAGGATGAGACATGCATTAATAGGAGGCACTCAAAACGTGAACATAATTATTCTGCTATCAGAAAGCTATGAGTCCCTACTCCCTAGATTATCGCTGAGCCAAAAGTTAGCAATCCAGGCCACCCCTCTCCAGCCAGCTTCACTCGCCACTCACCGTGGCCGCAGCCCCATCTTCTTAAACTCGGCATCGACCACCTTCATATTGCCGCCGCCACAGGACGCACCCATCAGAAAGCCGGCGGCACGAGAGCTGAGCAGCTGCGCCCAGATGAGCTCCCGGTCCAGCTCCTCCGCTTCACTGGGTACAGAGGATACCTGCGGCACGGACGGGGCAAGGGCGGGTTACGGCTCACCGGTTGGGTATAAACCGGGACACACGACTCACAGGCCGTACACTGACGGTAACTGGTACAGTTGCAAGTTGCACGCATGTATATTTATAAGCTTCGCCTCCAATCAGCTCTAATTTAGAGAAAGCTTGACTTCAACTGAGACTGCTGACTGGAACAAGATAACAAATACCTATTCAAAGATAATACCACGTAAGATCTCGATAAGAGAGGATTTACGACGTCAGAGCGCTTTCGATCCACACAATGCAATAAAAAAAAAACTTACAGACCACTCGTCTCACCTGAAGAGGGATGCTGTCGCAGGGCGCTCCGGTGAGAGTGGCCAGTCCCTCGATGGCCCGGCCTGAGACTAACGCCTCGTAGCAGCCGTGTACCTTGGCAACAGCCTTCTCAATGAGCGGCACCCACAGCTGGCGGTGCTTCGTCTGTGGAAGGCGGGAGGGAGCCGTGCGTGTTGCATAAGGCACGCGGTATCACGGGTGGAGACACAAGTTTCAGGGATGCGGGAAGGTACTAGGTATACTATGTTTCCCGTTGAGTGTTCGAAGCCTAACAGCGCTACGTTCCGTCGTCTTATTTTTTATAAACATACGACAATTAGCAGCCAAATAATTTTTCCCTTTTAGCTCTTGAGGATAATAAAACGACCACACCATTTACAGCATAACACACTATCCAGCCGTGGACGGTAAATATGGCACTGGGGCTCGATATCAGCGAGCTATTTAGTCCCCCCATCCCCAGTCCCCACCCTCGCAGTCCCCACCCCTGGCAGTATCCATCGTCGGTGTCAGGTCAACGGCCACCGCACCTGAATAATCCAGGTGAGCCGCGCAAAACACCGTCCCACGGCACCCAGGCGACAGGGGGACCCGGGGACCGGCCGCGGTTAATTATTCAGGGCCACGCTCCAGCGGGTACATCGTGAGGCTGACGGTGTCACAGATGGACCGGCCCGGGGCCACAGAGGGCTCCGGTGGCGGACACAGCCCACAGGGTGATAGAGAGCTGCTGTGGCAGTCCTGAGCCCATGGGTGGCATTACAGGCCTGAGGTTATCCGAGTCTACATGGTAACAGAGGCAAATGCAAGCCTTCGGTGATGGGGGCCGCCATGCAAGAAAGGGTATCGTTCGGTGTAAATAGGAAACCACCTTGGAAGTCAGAGTATCGTTTGGTGCAAGCTGGCCGTATTGTGAACCGTATCTAAAGCCGCATGGCTTTAGAAATTGCTACGCGCACGGAATGCGACGAACAATTATGGTGCCTACACAGTACACGGCGACCATTAGTAAAACCGATGGTTCGAGAATCGAGAACCACCGAAAGCCGGCTATATCTATGTAGAGGGTACCTACCTGTGAGTAGACCAGTCGTCCTTTGGCATCACAGGGCAGCAGATCGTCGATCAGCACCGTTTGCCACTGGCCGTCCTTACAAAGTCGCACCTGCCATAGGCGACAATAGTGTGAGTCAGTGGGTCAAACACACGTGGTTGCTGGGTCATAGGAGACAAATTTAGTGAGCAAAGGTCGGGTACACGTGACAATCCTCAACTCTTGCATAAGCGTCTGTACGGAGCGTGCATTCAATGCACGGAATGCATATAAGAACATCAAAAAGAATTAAATATCAGTCTGAATAGCAAGAAGGAAACACACACATGTTACAGCAGCCGCTGTATGCAACACCAACAAAGCGACCATAAAGATCAGTTTGTCACAAAAGTGCATGGTTGGCCTACCAAATAATCATAACCCGGGCGTTGGGCGTGACGGCGACAGCCCGCCTTCATTGTCCAGACGGCCGTGACGCATCGATCGAATGATGACGTCATTTCACAACAATCAAAGGGCGTTCATGAAACGCTAATCAGTACCGGGAACTAACTATGACGTAACTATGTGTCACATAGTGCCAATCCTGCGGAACAGAGGGACGGGGACACAGGATAGGATGCAGCAGGGTGGTTCGGTTAGGATGTTAGTAAGCTGATGCGACGTAGTACAGTCGGGTGCTGCTGATAGGGAGGGGAGCTGACACGACGACATCTTCAACCACGAGTGTGGTGTCGGCTATGGCATTGGGAATACCCGGGAATACCCGGGTCCCGGACTATGTTGTTTATCAAGGCACCTTCCCGTTCAACTCAGCAGTGAGGCCACACAGGGGGCCGTAGCTGTCCACCACTTCAGCCGACATAGGTATTAGGTAGTATGCCAACAATGTTAGAGGTTTTAAGACCTCAATATTATCAAATCAGCGCACTAACCTGATAGACACCCTGCTCGCAGAACTCCTTGGTAACCATCACGTTCTGTACGAGCTCCTCCCGCTCTGCAAGCACCGCCAGCGCGCTGAGCAGCCAGCAGTTGCCCAGGATACCTGGCGGTGGCGGTAAATCGTTATCGTCTGGACACGGTGGCAGGCTGACGGTGGGGATTTACCAGACAGTCTGGTGAATACCGGCTGCGTTCAGTCGGGATAGTTTACATAATTCAGCCGAGTCGAGATCGGTGTTAGGACGACTTGGGTGCACAGCCACGGTGAATCCCCACGACACAGAATTTTAGGAGTCGATACAGGGTTTGCACATGTAGATTTCCTACAGAAATGAGCCGTGTGTGACGCATTCAGGGGCCAGGGTACACACAAATTGCTTTATCAACGCCAACGAGAGAAGAAGCAAAGCAATAACGATTCACGGGCATGTGGCGTTTGCGCGTACCACACAGTACGATATTCTTACAAAATATGCAAGTAGTTATTGGTACCTACTACCTACTGTACAACTGACCAGTGACCCTGTTGTATGTGTGAAGGCCGCAGTAGGTAATGGATACTCACCCTGTTGTATGTGAGACGGCTGCGGTACTCACCCTGTTGTATGTGAGACGGCTGCGGTACTCACCCTGTTGTATGTGAGACGGCTGCGGTAAGTACTGGATACTCGCCCTGTTGTATGTGAGACGGCTGCGATACTCACCCTGTTGTATGTGAGACGGCTGTGGTACTCACCCTGTTGTATGTGAGACGGCTGTGGTACTCACCCTGTTGTATGTGAGACGGCTGTGGTACTCACCCTGTTGTATGTGAGACGGCTGTGGTACTCACCCTGTTGTATGTGAGACGGCTGTGGTACTCACCCTGTTGTATGTGAGACGGCTGCGGTACTCACCCTGTTGTATGTGAGATGGCTGCGGTAAGTACTGGATACTCACCCTGTTGTATGTGAGACGGCTGCGGTAAGTACTGGATACTCACCCTGTTGTGTGTGAGACGGCTGCCAAGTGCCAGCTGCGGTACTCACCCTGTTGTATGTGAGGCGGCTGCGGTACTCACCCTGTTGTATGTGAGGCGGCTGCGGTACTCACCCTGTTGTATGTGAGACGGCTGCGGTCGCCGGAACACAGTCCAGCGCGAGGTAGAGCTGTCGGCCTGGATCTGCCGCGGGCGCAGCCACTGGACGGTGGGACGCTGCTCGGCCGGCGCCGCGCCGCTGTAGTAGAGGCTGCGCGCCGCCGGAGGGAACGAGTCGTCCACGAACGGCTCACCGTCCTGTCGGAGGTCACAGCGGGTCAAAAAGATGGAAATAGGCCGGGTCACGGCAGGCCACTTCGGTGGATACAATGGGTCACCGAAGGCAGGAGATCAAGGATTAGAAGTCATTCGTGACTGACTGGTGGACACCGAGCGGTCACTAGCGATCAGATGAACACGTGCAGGATGGCAGGTTATCCGTATTCAAACAGAGTACAAAGAAACATTGATAGGTCCGGTATAACAAGCCACTTCTGGAGCTCATACGAGGCTAAACAATGCATAAGAGGTTTGGGAGATAGAGCACAAGAGGCGCGGCATTCCGTGGCCAGTAGGATAAAGTGGGTAATCGCCTAGCCCATGGCCTACGTAAGTCGTCGTGAGCGTTGAAGTGCCGGTCATTGCTACCAAGTACCAACACCGCTTCAATTAGATAGTCTGCTTTCAGTGTAGCGAATGCCCACTTAGTTCATGCATGCATCTGATTAGTCACTGCCAAGTAGAGCCCTGACTTGTCGCATTCGGATTATTAGACGCTATAAAGCTGGTACCTACGAATTTTAACGAATCCTTCATGATTGGCATCTAAAAAATAAAAATAAAGAAAAAACAGCTAATATAAAGCACAGCAGTGCGGCCAACACACCAGTCAATCAGAGGACTGTTAATCAACAAGACTATATTCATATGAACGCTTCACTCACCTGAACACAGAAGTCGACGATCCGTTTCCACGTCTGCCGAGCGCCCTGCTCCTCCCATATACGGAGGTCGGACTCCAGCTCGCTCTCACTCCGGTTGGCCAGGACGGCAGCACCGCCATCCGATCTGGTACCTCCCACCCGCGGCGCACCACACATGCCGCAGCGGCTGTCATCCGCCGCGTTCCCGTAGGTGCACGTCGGGCACGCCCAGCTGGCTGATGATGAGGGCACGAGGGGAGGTCCGGTGGCCGGCGGGGGACGGGTGCTGGAGGCTGAGGAGGCGGCGGTCGCGGCAGGGGCGGTGGCAGGAGCAGTGGCAGCGGGGGCGGCTGGGGCGGCGGCTGGCGCGGAGGATGGTCGACTGCGGCAGGCTGCGCACCGTTTCGCTGTGGGTGTGTTCACTAGAGTACACCGCAAACATGTCCAGTCAGCTGGCGGGGGCCGCTCCACCACCGCCGCCGCCGCCGCGCACAGAGCACAGCGCAGCGAGCCGGGAGCGTTGATGTAGGTGCAGCGGGCGCAGCGCCACGAGGCCGGCACCGAGGTAGACTCCGCTGACGGCATCGGCTGGCCGGGCAGGTACTGGAAGTCGGCATCGAGCGTCTGTCTCCCAACAACGGTGTCGGAGCGGCCGCCGGCCAGGTGGCTGGAGAAGCGGTTCAGACCGTCGGAGCCCGAGCCGCCGACGGCCCGCGAGGCCACGAACCGAGCCAGCGCGGCCTGCACGGAGAGCGGCGTCACGTCCGAGACGGGCCGTCGCGCCGCGGGACGGGTCGCTCTGCACGCCTCACACGACTCGGACGATCTGGGATTGTGGAGGGTGCACTGCGCGCACACCCAAACCCGAGTAGGAGATTTGCTGCGGGCGTTTTCTGGTGAGGCAGCGGCAGCACTGCTGCTCAGTGAGCGGCTCAGCTTATTCCGGACTCGGTCGTACAGAGACGAGTTCTGGCGTTTGGGCGACTTTGTCAGGTCACCGGTTACCTCCCCCTCGCCAGCTGGTACCATCGGAGTCAGAAGCTAGCCGCCTCTGTGACAACAGAGGAGGACCCGTACCTCTGTAGTGACCTATTACCACTGACAAAAGGTGAATGATTGATATGCACACAGGCAGGAGACTAAGAGGTTCACTGCTTGGGAGTTTGCACTGTCCAATGTAGAGTTTTCTTTGACTTGTGGCAGCCTATTCAGACAGCAAGCTGCTTGTGTCAATTGCATCTGGGTTCAGTCACAGATTTCAGTGATGGACGATGGTTGGGGAGCAGCCGTCTGCACCTGACTGAGGTGATGCAGGCTTCTGGAGGACTTGGCTGTCGCTACTGCCTGTCACCCTTACACTGATAGAAGATGATACTACAGCTGCTGCGGCAAGCCTCCACAAGACTTTACTGGATAGACTAGAAGCTGTACTGGTCTTCTCCTGTCAATATTGGGCAAGCTTGGATGCCCAAATCAGCTGATCTTGACTTTATTTTCTGTGGACAAATGGATCTATGACACTCATCATGCAGTGTTACAATCAAAGGGTAGTAGGTAACTCAAACTATTGTACCAGTATAACTGGAATCACTACCAAGTACCAATGCATATTTTATGGTAGTTGAGAAACCTACCTACCCCTAGGTATGGTAGGTTAGGTTGGGTTAGGTTAGTTATGGTTGGCTACATTGCAGTTTCAATTGCCTACTATAAAATATAGGTTGAAGGCGATCCCAGCTTTACTGATAAAGAAACTACTCCAGTCTCCAGGGGTTCAAAAGAGTAATTTATTTCGAGAACAAGAGAGAACAGAAAAAATAGCATAAGAGAGATCTGCAAAGCATCCCTGTAGCTCTCATAATGATCCAAATAACTGAAATTCGCAGAAAACCGAATGGTGGCTAATCGCACACTTGCACTCCTCACCTACCTAGCCTTAGCCTATATCCTGGCACTGTAAAGGTGAGGGAAAATATGAGTACCTACCACAGAACCCGGCCAATAGATATGTAAAATTTAGGCTGTACAACTCTGGTAAAATTAGAAAAGGGATAGGCCCGGGCAGCGCTTATCGAACAGCACTGCGGATCCGAAGGTTGGGACTTTAATTGTGAAAAACCGCCCGCCCGCCGCAAAACGCAAACACCGCAAAACGCGCAAAACGCACGCCGAAAGCGCCAACGCAAACTTCGCAAAAAAACAATCGCACGCCCGCCGAAAACCGCAGAAAAAACGCACAAAATGCCGCAAAAAAAACGCGCGTCCGCCGCAAAACACAAACACCGCAAAAACGCAAACACCGCCGCCGCAAAAAAACGCCCGCATCGCCCGCCGCCGACCGCGAAACGCCGCAAAAAACGGCCGCACGCCGCGAACCGCAAAACGCCGCAAAAACGGCCGCCCGCCGCAAACCACTAAACGCCGCAAAAAACGACCGCCCGCCGCTAACCGCAAATAACGGCCGGCCGCCGGCAACCGCAAAACGCCGTGAAAAACGGCCGCCCACCGCAAACCACAAAACGCCGCAAAAAACGGCCGCCCGCCGCAAACCGCAAAACGCCGCAAAAAACGGTCGCCCGCCGCAAACCGCCGCTAAAACGGCCGCCCGCCGCCAAACGCAAACAGCAAAAACACCCGCATCGCCCGCCCGCCCGCCGCCAAACACAAAAACCACAAAAAACGCAAACACTGCCGCAAAAAACGCCCGCAACGCACGCACGCCCGCCGCCAACCGCAAAACGCCGCAAAAAACGACCTCCCGCCGCCAAACGCAACCACCGCCAAAAACGCAAAAACGGCCGCCCGCCGTCAAACGCAAACACCGAAAAAAACGCAAACACCGCCGCAAAAAAACGCCCGCCGTAGGCAAAACGCAAACACTGACGCATTAAGACAAATATGGCGCCATGCGGCAAATGTGGTGCATTCATATCTGCCGTTTAAGCAGCCATCCCTTAATTACAGCGCATCATAATCGTCCAATGTTCGACAAGGTTACGCACATTCTGCGCTTTGCGGCAAAAATGGCGCTTTGAGACAAACGTGGCGCACTGCAACAAACATGGCGCATTCGTTCATGTCGCTTAACAATTCATCCACCCACCAAATTCTAGCCCAATCGGACTTCAACTTACAAAGTTATGTACATTTGAACATTTCACTATAAAATATCTCCGCAACGGAGGTGCCCAGATTTGCACGTGTGCCACGTGACCACTGGTGGTGCAAGCAGGACTTGTCCCCTCACTGATTGCACCATTTCAGTGTTCCTGGCTTGTGCTGTTTTCGTGCTATAAGGCCACAAGTCGGCAAACACACGATAATCTGGGAGGTACGCGACTCAAACACGTGGCCACGTGGCACGTGCCGGACCTTTGATAGCTTCACCGTTCACACCACGTGATGACCCATCGACGTGGCCATCAGCATATAAAAGATGACCCCGGCCGGTGTCACCGTCCCTGAACAGTGGACGGCTGAAGTCGAAAAATGGGAAAATTTAGGGAAATTTCACCTTTCGAATATATAATTTCCCCAGAATTTCGAATTTTTCATTTTACAAAAAATCCGAGATAGCAGTTTTTTAGCCCCCTTCATTCTGTGCCTATACCCGTTTTCAGATCGACCCTATCATAAAAACAGACGGCCTGACGGCTATTTCCCCCATTCCTTGCATTTCACAATGCTAATATATTTAAGCACCAAAATTGATCCCGTGCCACGGCACGTGCAATAGCACGTGCGCCACGTTACCACTAGTGCGACAAGCTGGACTCATCTGCTCACCGGCTGCGTTGATTTGGTGTCGGTAGGTGGAGTGGTTTCCACGCCATAGGACCCCAAGTTGGCCAATGTCGGATTTTCCCGGAGGTTACCCCATCAAACACGTTTGCACGTGGCACGTGCTTTTCAATCGCCCCATATCTGACCCATACCATGTGGTAGCCGACACCCCGGTGCACAACATATTGAAACTTTTTCAAAATCTAACGTGGAAATTTTTTGCAAAATCGATTTGAAAATAATTTTTCGAATTCGCCATAGGCTCAACATGGGGTAACTGTTTGTGACGATTACCCGAAATTTTGTCAATTATATTTTAAATAATTACCACCGTCAGTTGGGGTGCCAGCCCGAGATCCGACCCTAAAAATATCAGCAAATATAATTGACGAAATTTTTCGCAAATCAAATTTCCAATTTTCCCCCATGTTAACCCTATGGGAAAATGCACGTGCCGATTACCCCAAAACGGGTTAATTATATTTCAAGCGACCGATGCCAGCCGGTAGCTCCCCGATACGGGACCAAACGCTGAAAATGGCAAGCAATTCTACCGTGCCGTTTTCGCGGGGATCAAAATGTCCCAATTTCCGGCAGAAACGCAAATGTCCCCCTAGAGAGGTAGCTCAGGTTGGGATTTTCAATAGAAAATCACAATTCTAAAGAATAGTGATTGTTCTTAATTGAAAAGTCCCAACCTTCGGATACCATCAAGGACAGAAACAGTACCTGCAGCACTGAGCGCTGCTTTGAATCGTCTTGACTGTTTCACTTTCTTTAACAAGCTTTCTGGTGGCTATTTAATGTTTCCAATGGTTAAACGATTCTAAATGATGTCAAAATAGAAGAACCACCATGTTGAACACAGAAATATTTCTCAAAACATCACATACACATACGAGATAAATAACAAAGGTGAATCAGCTGCAGCGAGCTTCTGTTCACTAATTTTGTCTACAACTGAAAGTAAGAAAGAAATCACCAATTGATTTGTCTATATTACTCAAAATTCTGGTTGTCATGGAAATAGTGCTTACATTGACAGGATAGATCCACGATGAACAGGTGGTTTTTGTTTCTCATAGATTTCTAGCATGCGTTCGGCACCCAGAAAATGAGGGATAATTATCCGGGGTTAGTGGTAATTATTTGGCTTGATCATTTGCTATTATTGCAGGGTCTATCAATGCAATAAGTAAAATTTTAAGATTGCTTTTGCCTCACTAATGGCTCTTTTACACGTTGTCTTGTCTGTTGTACACGGTGTCAGCCGTCAGGTCACCGAGGGGTCCGATGATCCCGGAAAGTTATCCCTGATTATCAAGATGTCGAACGCACCCGTAGGCATTTTTCAATGTACTTTCCATGTACTTTCCATGAATGAAAGGTGCTTTCACCTTTTAAAGGTGATTATTTTTTGTAAATCCTTTTTTATTAATTTCATTTAATATCCAGAGCTATGCATCACCGAACTATGCATTTGGTGCGTCCCGATTTATTTTCGGCTCTCAAATCTCAAACTTCATTGGGGAATTCAATGGGAATTCCCTATTTCACTGGGTCGATTCCAGGGGTGAGCCTTGGGGTGAGCTATTGTGCGGGGCCGCGGGCAGGGAGGAACCAGCCAGTAGCGGCGGAACATCTTCAATCAAGGGGGCACCACCGAATTTTGGTCTCATTCCTTCGATGCAACGCCTATAGGGCTAATGTTAAAATGGCGAAATCAAGGGGGCACGCCGCACGGTGCTCCCCCCCCCCCCGTGCCGCCGCTTATGGAACCAGCGGAAGTGTTCGGTGGGTTGAAGCGGACGAGCCCATGTCATGAACCCAGAACAAACCTGTCGATCTTTATATCAGGGGGTCGGGGGGGAGGTTGGCTGGTCCGCTCGCCGTTTCGCCCCTTTACCCTTAATTGTCTATTGAGTGACAGCCTCGCGGAGCAAACGATCAGGTGCAACGTCACGAGAAGACTCAGAGACTAGGACTTCAAAATAAAGTAGGTAACTACAATCGGTTTCCTCTCTTCACGGGGAGCATGCTCGTAGTTTTTTTTTCGCGAAACTCTAGCTCGATCAGGGGCCATACGGCAGGGATGGGGTCAGACCGATCCCCCCATGCGTAGGAATAGGTTTGTCACCAATAAACACATTTCAGCTCCTGCTCCTGCAGAATATCGGAACCATGCTTGACCTCAATACCAGTGCCCCATTGCCAAGGCCACAGCGTTAAACCGTGCTGCGACGTCGGGTCAATAGCCGAAGGCGATTTAGGTCACCGGGCGGGTGCGTCCGGCGACGATGTCCCACTTTCTGTTGTCCAGGCGGTCCACCCCAACGGTACGACTGCAGACACTAAGCACTAAAAGTAGGACGCACTTTATGAGACGTCAACACGCTAGCCTTGGTCCACAATCGTTACTTGTTGATTGAATATCCCTAAAGGTAATTAGTCCCCCAGGACGTGTTCTTTTGGTTTATAATGCCCGGCTGGGGCTCGAGGACTAATGCATACAAAATTCACGCTAGCCTAAATAGCACGATACTGCACAGCCCGTCCTTTCAGCAATAGCGTGAAAGGACGGGTCGTTTTTCGTTTTTTTTTTGTCGTTTTTTACCCAATCATGTTTTAGCCGTCTCGGCCACCGTCCGTCCAAGGAGCGGCCAACGCCCAACTGTTTTATATAGGATACCTATAAAGTTAATTCAGCCACTAAATGCGACATTCTC